AAAGAAAAAGCACATCTAGCCCTGCTTATAGCTGTTTCAGTTGCTCCATGATAACTAAGAAAGATCAAAGAAAATGTACTCCTCTGATGAATACAACTAGAAAGCTGGTAACAATGGATGAGAGAAGGCTGAGGTACACAACAATATTTTTTTATTGTCAGTCTTTCTTCCCCCACTTTTTGAGTGGACAGACATCAAGATGGGTGAGAAAAGTGCTTCCTTTCTTGAGAGATCAGGTTTGGGATCACCTGAGGAGCCTGAACAGACATGTCCATGGGATCTATTCTTAGATGCATTAGAATCCTGAAAACTGGCTGATGCAGTTGCCAAATCACTTTCCACCACATTTGCAAAGACGTGGCAGTCAGGAGAAATCCCCAGTGACTAATAGAGAAATAGAGAATGAATGGAGTGACTACATCAGTGGACAAAGGAGGGGCTGTGAATGTAATTTATCTTCTGTAAAGCCTTTGACATGATCCCTCACAGAATCCTGCTCTTTAAATTGGAGAGAGATGGATTTGATGAGTGGACTGTTAGAAGGATAGGAAAGTGGTTAGACTGTCAAATTCAGAGAGCAGTGGTCAACAGGTCAGAGTCCTGATGGACATCAGTGACAAGTCGTGTCCCTCCGGGGTCCATATTGTCTCCAGCGTTATTTAATGTCTCATTAATGACACAGACAAGGTTATTGAGTGCACTCGCCACAATTTTGTAGATTGAGGTGAGTGGTGCGGTTGACACTTCTGAAGGACAGGATGTCATACAGAGGGACAAGGTGGAGAAGTGGGCCCATGGGAATCATGGCTCAACAATTCTCTCAGCCTTTCCTTGTAGGAAACATGCTCCATCCCTCTAATCATCTTGGTGGCCCTACTCTTTACTCATTATACCAGATCCATGTGCTCCTGTGCTGGGATCCCCTGATCTGGATGCAGTGTTCCAGGTGGGGTCTCAGCAGAGCAGAGCAGAGCAGAGGGGCACAATCCCCTCCCTCCCCTGCTGCCCACGCTGCTTTGGATGCAGCCCAGGACACGTTTGTCTCTCTGGGTTGGCAGTGCCATGGCCRGGTCATGTCCAGCCTCTCACCCACAGCACCCCCARGTCCTTCYCACGGGGCTGCTCCGATCTGCTCATCCCCAGCCTGTGCTGGGACCGGGCATTGCCCCRATCCCGGTGCAGCACCTYRMACTTGGTCTTGTAAAATGCAAGCGATTCCCATGGCCCATCTCTCGAACTTGTCCAGGTCCCTCTGGATGGAATCCTGTCCTTCAGGCATATCAACCACAACACCCAAACCCTCCAAGGGTTGGCTGCAATCCTGTCAGTGGTTGTCCATCACTAAGGAAGACATTAGATGATACTTGTCCGAAGGCATATCCCTGAGGGACACCACCTATTCCCAACCCACATGTGAAGATTGAGCAGTTGACCACTACCCTCTGGCTATGACTGTTCAACCAATTCCTTATCTGCTGAACAGTCCACCCATCAAACCCTTCTCTAGACAATTTAGAGAGCACTGGATAGCTTTAAGTAGGAAAAGTCAGTTCAGTGAGGCTCAGAGGTCAGCAGCTCCCAGACCTCTCTTTCCTACCTTTTTTAAAGATGAGTCTAATATTTCTCCTCTTCCAGTCACCTGGGACTTCACCTGACTGCCACAACTTTTCCAGTGCCATGGAGAGTGGCATGGCAACTATGTCMGTGAATTCSCTTGGGACTCTGGGATGCATCTGTCATGGTTTAACTCCAGCCAGAAGCCAAACCCCAGCAGCCACACGCTCACCCCCTGCCACTGGAAAGGGGGAGAGAATCAGAAGGATAAAAGGTAGAAATGACACAGGTTGAGGTAAAGGCACTTTAATAGGGACACTAAAATCCACACACATAAGCAAAGCCAGACAAGGAATTCATTCACCAAACATGGGCATTGAGGTGTTCTGCCATCCCCAAAAGAGCAGAACCCTGTCACACTGACAGTGACCTGAGYAGACAAACATCATCACTCCAGATTCCTTCTTCACCCCACTTTATATTCTGAACAAAGTCTGGAATATMCCTTTGGTCAGYTGGGGTTACAGGTCCTGGTTGTGTCCCCTCCCAACCCCTCTACAGCCCCAAATTCCTCACCAGGGTGGCAATATGAACAGCAGAAAARCCTTGGCTCTCTGTAAGCTCTGCTCAGCAATAACAAAAACATCTCTATATTATCAACTCTGAGTTCAGAACAAATTCAAAACACAGCCCCATACCAGACACCATAAAGAAAATTAACTCTACCCCAGACAAAACCAGTACCTCATTGGATCCCATAGACGTGTCTGTTCAGGTTCTTGAGGTGATCACAAAACTGATCTATTACCGTAGAGAGCACTTCTTCAGTCCCCATTCCGCCGTCCATCCACTCGAGAGATGCGGGAAGAGAGGCTGCCATTGAAGGTAACTGAGGTAAAAAAGTTGTTGAGTACCTAATTTTTGTGTACAGCACCAGAAGAGAAACATGCTTCATCTCAAAGGAGTAATTTTTGGGGTTTTTTTCTGGTTATGAACAGTATCGAAAATTCAACCATTTGCATTGTTGCTCGGTTGTGTTAAGTGGCACTTGTTGACCTCTTGATTTCTAGCTTGGAAAGACAATTTTACCAATTGTGGCTTGCTTTCCTGGAACTGGGTGATTGTTTTCCCTTCCTATCCGTCCTGCTGGAAGCATACAATCTTGTCTTGAAATCACTCACAAAGGGATAAATTGAAGACATTTAGTTCCACCTTTGTCCTGGCATTTTCGGTGTTTTTTTCTGTCCACTAACAGCTTTCTGTTCCAAAGTAGATGTTCCATCTTCCATCTCAGTAAGCCTGTCGCTTAAATTTGAAGGGCCATTTTTACTCCTGTTAGATAATCTGACATGTACTTCAGCTCTTACAGCAATTTTCCCCTTCACTAATGCCACTAATATTTACATTTCTGTGTCCTTTTTCTATCTCTGAAGGACTGTTGATGAATACAGCTTCAGGTAATTGCTTTTCCCAGGCATCATAATTTGTTTTTCAACAAAAGAAAAATTTCCAATTTTTTGAAAGACTATTCAAATGCACTAGGGGAGATGAAGGAAGGTCAGGGAGCAGGAACACTGACTTTCATGACATTAGTTACCAACATTCTCCTAACTTCATAACTTACACTTTACAACATTTTATTAGTTATGTGGGACAGGCTGGCTGAAGGTTAATCACTTCCTTTCATCTAGAATTTAGCTGATGGATAAAAAAAAAAGCACTATTCATTCCAATGTGAGGACATAAAAGCTGTGTATCTGAATAACAGCAGATGGAAAGAAACAGCAAATTCTCACTCTGGAAAATAGAAGCTGAGATGCTACAGTCGTCTCTCCTACTGCTAAATCCTGCACAGTGGCAAAAGTAGAAGTTAACTTGTGCTAGCTGGAAGGTTTTGATTTTTAAAGCTTTAAGTCAAGAAATGTATTTCTAACAAATTTCAAAACATTCCTGTTTCAGCCCACTCTGCAACAGGTGAGAGGCTCATGGGGAATTTTGCTGGACAGTTTTCTGGAAGACAAGTTGAAAGGATCATGGTCCATTACAAATTTTAATCTCAAACCCAGACCATTGCCATTGACTTAAAAACTCTCTCCTGTGTGTACTTTTATCCCATTTACCCATTCTTCAAATTAAACAAAAACTATTATAACTTGACACTCCATTTATGAAGAAAGCATCCTGTAAGGCAGGAGTTTTTCCTGCTTCTGAAAGGATATTCTTGGGCTTGCTCTCCTCAAGGCAAGTTGGAAATCTACAATAAAAAGATACTCCCTTATGTTGTATGGTAGGGAGGACAAGCAATACCCATGCTCTTCATGACTTGAGAAATGCTTGAGTGTTTTCTAAATTGACTTCTCTGAGCTTTCCAAACTTGTAATATGAGAAAAATGAACCATGTTAATGTGAAGASTTAGAGAAACCATGGTTTCATGATTGTCAGTTCAGAGTGCCCTTTCCTTGGAAGCTTTCTGGTATCACTCCCTTTCATCTCCGAGTATTTCTRTCCCAAGTGAAAGCATTCTTACTCCTTTGTATCACTGGCAACCTGCCTGAACATGCTGCTGCCTCTCCACTTTCCCACCCATTTCAGATCCTTGTCTATACTCATTCAGCTGGTGGTGCTCACTTCAAATTACCATCACCGAAGTGCATCAAATCACAGGGACAGAACGTCACCATCACTGTCGGCAGGCCATGGATACCGAGGGAACCCCAACATTTAGGTTCACTCTTGGGGAGGGAACAACATCAGGAGAGGCTTCATCCCTAAGGGCCGCCTTCAGGATGAAATCCAGCTGCAGCACAGCATCTCCTGAAGCCTCGTCCCCCGCTTGTGCCTAACTCAGGAAAAGACTCGGGGCAGGACAGCTGTCTCTCTGGAAGAAGATTTTCTTCGCAAGCCCCGTCCCCGCCGAGGAAGAGGCTTTAGGTGCGGGGTCCCGTGCGAAGGATGCCCACCCCGGCTTCTCAAGGAAAGACGCCCGTCGGGGGTCCGCTCCCCTCCTCCAGAGAGGGAAAGGCTGCCCGGGGCGGCGGCAGCGGCCGGCCAAGCAGCGGGGGCCATCAGGTAGGGGCAAGCCCGCCGAGCCCCCGGCCCGGTCCCGGAGCATCCCGCGCCGGGCGGTGCGCGTACTCACGGCCGTGCGGGGCTCCCATGGGGCCGGGCCAGCAGGAGGAGGAGGAGGAGGAGGCGGAGGCCGGGCAGGTGAACCGTGGCGGCCGCTGCCTGCCCAGCCGCTGCTGCGGRCTCTCTGCCCCCGGCCGCTGGCAGGGCTTGAGCCTCCCGCGCCCGCCGGCAGCGTGGGAGGGTGCGGCGGGACCGCGGGCGGCAGAGCCGCTCCGACCGGCTCCGGGGAGCGAGGGAGGGAGGGAGCGAGGGAGGAGGCAGGAGGCAGGACAGCTCCCGGCCCCGGCCCGCCCTCCGGCTGCGGCTCCAGCGAGGGGAAGCCGAGCGCTGGCGGCTGTCGGGGTGCTCCGCGCCGCGCTGCCCGGGCCACTTCGGAAGCTTGTCCGGGAGCGTCTGTCCGCTGCCCAGAGGGGCGCTCCGCCGGACGGCACTGTCCCGGTGCGCAGCAGCTGGATGGCGCGGACCCTGAGACCCGACGACATCAACCCCCGGACGGGGCTGGTGGTGGCTCTGGTCAGCGTCTTTCTGGTGTTCGGCTTCATGTTCACCGTGTCCGGCATCAAGGGAGAGACCCTGGGAGACATCCCGCTGCTGGCCATCGGGCCGGCCATCTGCCTGCCGGGCATCGCCGCCATTGCCCTCACCAGAAAGACCGACGGCTGCACCAAATGTCCCGAGAACATGCGTCCCTGCTGTAAGGAAGTCAAGGACCGCGATGGCATGGAGCTGCTAAGGACCCCCTCGGACCTGGAATCTGGCAAGGGAAGTTGTAACGAGCTGGCCAGGAAAGCGTACCGCAAGGACAGGAGAGGGATGAGGGCAGAGGACACCGTGTTCATCTGCACCACCAGCACCGCTGCCGCGGCAGAGGGCGAGAGCCTCACCAAAAAGGTAGAGCAGGAGGAGATGCTGAAATACCTGGACAGCTGTTACCCAGAGATGCCGGAGAACGTGTTCGTGGGAGATGGTTCCACATACAGTGCCTTGGAGAAGAAGAGCTCTTCTCCCAGCAGGGACAGCACTCCTTGCCCTGACGTTGAAGATAACATTTTTGTGGCTCCTAAAGACAGTATCATTGTCTGCTCTTACAAGGATAACAGCCCTTACGAGAGTTACTGTTGTTATATAAACCCCGATGGAGTCAACACAGACCAGGAGACCATTGTGTGATAGATGCATACTTTATATATATGTATGTGTACAAAAACTGCAACTTCAGCTTCTTGATAGGGGATAATATAGCTGACTGCATGGGACAATCCTGATAACTATTTCAATTTAACGTGGTATGTGACTGATACTCAAACCTTTTGTGCCTGAAGTACGCTTTCTGTAAGTAAACAAGCATGTTTAAAGGTTAAAGAATTCAATTCTTCGTTTTGGAAAAAAAAAAAAGAAATTACTTTTTAATTTTGTTTTCTTGCTTTCTCTCCCTTTTGTTTCCCTGCTGCCTATTGTGCCCAAGCCTGTAGGCACACTGGCAGGAGGGCAGAAGTGGCTGTCAGCTGAGATCTAGAGCTGAATGAAACTCTGGAGCTGCTGTAGGAAAGAATGTGGTGCTCTATAGCTGAATAAGTTTTTGAAATCGTGTCACTTCATTTTGGGAGGGAGTGAGAGATGTCAGCATGAACTGCAACAGCTGGCTGATGTTAGGGAGTATAGAAGTCATTTGTCTCCCTTCTTCCTGACAGGATTTTATTTTCCTCTCTGTCAAGGAATAGATGTCGTGATCCCCATGGGCTCTTCTGAGAGTCTCCTGGGAACCAGATAGGCTCAGCAGAGTTTTCAAAAACTAATCCATCATCAATAGCATGAATTCAGAGTTGTTAGCTTAATTCTCCACCAGTCTTGAGTTCACTGGAATGTTTCTAACACTTTTGGATTTTAGAGGCATACTCRACAAGGAGATTGCAACATGATCATGACACAGTTCTTGCAGACACTAGGAGCAGATGTCAGTGAACTCAGGTCTTTAAAATATATTTCAGTACCTCAAAAATTGCTTCAGGAATAGAATTGTGTGAGTTATGTTCAGAGTGGGATCTGACTCTTCTGAAAATGCCGTTTTCTTGTGCCTTTTCTAAAATGCCAGATGTTTCTCTATGGGGGTTGCATGGTGACAGTCCACTCAGGGGTCTCAAAGCCATGCTTTTCTGGAGGAAGGGAACAGAGGACCTGACTGACAGATGTTTTTTTCACAGCTTATGGATAAATAGCAAGAAAATGTGAAGCAAGTCATGAGGATTAACCATACAAATTCAGAGCCTGCAGTTTACATACAGAAATGCATATCCTGGCTATTCTGTCCAACACTAAATTGCATGTTCCATGCTGTGCATAAACATCTTACCTGGCCTCTGCAATGTGGGTAACAGGGATGTGCTATCACACAATGTGCATGCTAAGCAGCTGCTCTAAGTGTTAAAGTCTTAGGGGAATGGTTGCTAAAGCTTAGAGTAATTTGCTAACATCTCACAAAGCCCCAGTTCCTGCAAGGAAACTCCCACAACTCCAGAAAGTTCCTGTGTGTGTTGAAAAGATGAAAGTGATGAATGTCTTAGTAACTGTTCTTACCTACCTGGTTTTTATCAACCATAACTTGTACCAGAGAAATGTGTTGAGTCACCAGAGTAGGAAATAAGAAAAAAAAAAAGCCTTTCTTTTGTAGCAATCTCAGATGTTGTGTAGAAAATGGAATTTTTCACTCAAATGAGGCTTTTCATGGCCATGTAATTGTTTGGGAAGTGAATGTAAATTTTATACATATACTTGTGTGTTTGTTTGTTCAGAAACTTAATGTCAAATCGTAACAGACAACTAGTATCTGAAGACATTTCCAGAAGAAGGAAATAATTTTTTACATTGGATAGCTTGGTTTCTTCTAGACCAAATAAGATGTTAATACTTTAGCCAGGCTTTGGTAGGGTATCTGGATACTAGTAGGACAAATTCAAAAAACTGTAGCTAGTTTAAGTCAGGCAAAGACTCTGAATAGGTGGTTAGAGGCAGCTCTGCTGCTCAGGCATGCAGGCACAGTACTTCACTTTGTACAGCCCAAGCTTTATCCAGTGAGCAGAGGAATTCCACTAAAACAGATCCTCTCCCTGACATGTTCAACTTCAACATAAAACACTGTTGTCAGCAGTTGCCTCCTACAGGCTTAGTCACTGCAGGACCTTRTTCTGCAATGTGCAGAGCAGGTCTTTAATGGCACCAGGAAGTCTTCATGACTTCTGAACGGCTAACATACTGCTGATGCACAGGATGATGAGTAGGGTCTTCTGCTTTCTGTTTCTGAAGAAAGCAGGTGAGGGTCTCCTGTGCCACGGGGTGCTGGAGGTCAGACCCACCATGAGAAAACAGGCTACTGGGTCCTGCCTGCTGCCTTTGACAGGGCTGTGAGTAATCACTTGCCTTCTGTAAGGGAGCAAACCACCAGCCGGCTGGGAACCTAGATTTGTACAGTTCTGCAAATATGTATAGGCAAAAGTCAAGTTGTTCCATTTTGTCTAGGATTAGATGTTCTCTGTCAAAAGTTACATGGTCTTTTTCAAGACAAGACAGCAAACTCTAGTGACAAGTGGAATAGTAAATCTGTAACTTGATGTATAGACATGCAGATCTGAGTCATATGCTTTATTCCATTCTTAGTGTAAAAACAAAGAGAATGTTTGTATTCAAGCAAAGTTTAATGGGAGTGAAAACTTCCCACAATATAGAAAGATGTATTAAAAAACRTTTTTAAAATGTCATATTTACAGGCAATGTCATCCCTCTATTCAGCTGAGGTAAGATTTCTTAATAAAATACAATTGTAGGCAATAGTTCTAGGCTTATCAACCATAATCCACCAAAGTTGTTTATTAAATGTGTGAGAATTCAGAATTACAGAAATATATTAGTACTGCCTCTGAAACCTCTTTTTTTTATTTTTCCTTTCTTTTCTACTAGTTTAGGAGTGAATGAAATGGAAATTAATTCTGCCATTTTAAAAAATAAGGACTTATTAATTTGAAAATAAAGGGGTTTAGATTATTATTTGTTGTGGGAGTTAGATGTTTCAGGGGGGKTTTGTTTGGTTTTGTTGTTTGTTTTTTGTTGTTTGTGGTTCTGTTTTGTTTTGGGGTTTTTTTTTTAATAATGTAACCTTTTGATAGTTTTGCCAGTAGAAATCTACCATATATTTGATCCCAGACAGCATGATAACATTTTCTAGTTTTTTATCCAGATAACATGCCCGGACCTGAGAGCACCTGGACTTAATTTTTGTTCAGCTCATGTGGACACTAAATCTTGTAGTAACAGTGCTGATCTTAGAACAAGCAGGAATAATTACTTTTCTTTTCAGAGGCAGCTTCTAGTGTAAATTTGGCTTCAGGATACTGCAGCTTGGGGTGTGATTCCAAGCCATGACCAGAGATGAGAGCTTCTTTCTGTTCTTGCTACTTTAAAAAACCTCCAGGTGAAAGTCGCACTTCTCTCCTCAATGCTATCTTCCAAATAGCGCATGCAGTTGTAGGGGAGCTCTGTTTTGGGGATAAATGTCTTGGGGAATAAATGTCTTGGGGGATATCTTGTGAACCACATATTGCCTGATCTTAAAATATAAGTGTCAGGGTGTATAAAGCATTTGAAGGAAAAGTCTAATTTGGACATTCAGAGAAGGTTCTTAAGATTTATAAACTTTATTTTTGAAATAGCATTTGTCATAGTGCTACAGTGTAGTTTATCTTCTTCTAAGAGACAATGTGATGTACAGATCAACATAGGACAGTTTTCTGTGGCTTTGTTTAAATTTCTATTGTCACAAGTAGCATTTTTACAGTCATACAATCACTGCAAATTATCACTGCAAAATCTTAACAGACCATTTGAAGTTTTAATCAGCACTTTGTCCTCCGGAGTGCAAAACAATAGCTGGTCCTTTCGGCCTGGAACTGAACAATCACGAGGTGAGTGTGCTCAGAGTATGTTTCCCTCAGGACTAGTATTGTATTCTGCAGATATGTCATACTCTTGCAGAGGCAGTTCCTCCCACTCTGATCCAAACTCTCTGCAGTCCTGGCTCCAGTAGCTATTTATTATGCTGTAATTACCAGAGTAACAGCTACTGTGACCCCCTCTCACCATTTCTGCTGCTACACACCACACTTTGCAGAGTGAGCTGCTGCTTTTGGCCAGGGTGGTACAATTTGAAACTRCATCATTCATCCAATCTAAGCTGTTACATTGAGATATTCAATTATATTGTCAGTCTTTGCAGCATAGGCTTGGGATTTTGCCGTGGGTTTGAGATGGATGACTGTCAGACCATCAAGCACTTCACATCTGATTTTCACATGCATGTAGACTAACATATTGACTTGCAGAGCACAATCAGCACATAGGACCTTGACTCTCAGCATGTTGCCAGTGAAGTCATGGCATAGGAAATTTTTGAGTCCTGAAAGGCTTCTGACTACGCTTCTAATATAAAATGTGTTAAAATTTGTAGAGGAGTTTCYTAATAGGTAGGCAAGAGGTGTTCTCTTGACACACAGCATGGGGCATCAGCTGCAAAGCRGCTCATGCTGAGCCCGTATCTACTTTGCAGCCAGTCTGACATGCCATCCCTACTGTGACTACCGTGGTGTGTTTATCACTTCTCTGGTCGTATGGGCCCTTTTATGTACAGAAATCACAGAGAGTGGATCTAGAAGTCACTTTCCATGCACTTTGGCAAACTTTCATTGGTAAGCATTACCTTTAATTTAGCATTCCTATCAGTGCTAGAATTCCAGACCCTCTATGTCTCTACCAGATATGGAGATTCAGCTTTTGTTAGTTTTTAAATATTTGATTATTTTCTGTTTGGAACACTTACATGGATTAGCCTTGTGTCAGATACAAAGAAGTGTTTATGCTTAATGCTTTTACTTACAAACTKCACCCTGGATGGGTGTATGTATATATGTTATACATTTGTCTGCAAGGGCAGGTAGCAGAATGTATAATCATAGCAATGTATTAATTCGAGATCCCCTCAGAGGTGTTTTTCCAACACCTTACCCAACATTTCTTCCTCAAGTCAATCATTACAATTTAAAAWTCTTGCCCTTCTTTAGGAGAAAAAGACTTTTTCTAAGAACAACTTTGTTGTGGCTCTTTAAGAACACACAGTTCTTCCAACAGAGTTAAGACATTCCAGGTCTGTTTCAGTATAGCCCCTGTGAAATCTTGGCAACTGAAAACTGATTTTTTACAGTGCTTCACATTCAGCATTTCCTCAAACCATTGGTAAAAGCCCTGAACCTTTAGTCAATTGTGAAAGATCCAGTTCTAGCATTTTTTCAAACTTAAGTGTCAATATTTAGGATGTGAAAAAGGGTAAAAACACTTTSAAAATCTGGCTCTGTACTCTCACATGTTCTAGTGAAAGTAGTATRTAAGTTTTCATAAAAGCAAAAGAGACCAAAAGGCATCACACACAGTATTTCATTACTTTGTCAGAWTAACTGTGTTAAATTGTGGTCACAAAAGCAGTGTGTTTAGTGCACTGTTCCATCTGTGTATCATGCCTTTGGTAGCTAACCCAGACAGTTCCTCAGGTAAGGATAGAGAGTATTTTCCTGCCTGAAGGCATGATACAAGAACTGCGGAAAAAAATTACTATGTAATGGGGATCTGATTTTAGATGTCATCAATACATTTATTTTCACACCACTGTATTCTAGTATAAAATGCAGTACTAATCAGCAATTGCGCACAGTCATGAACATAAGGATGCTACCACATTAGCTTCTTATTTAGCACTCAGTGGTAGAAAGTTCTTTTTTTTGTTGCTGTTGAAATCCAAGGCAAATTTCACAAGGTGCAATGCTAAACATTTCATGTGGAGCTTCAAACTCAAACTTAGTGCTGTATGAAAACTGTCGAATACAGTTTTTGAAATTTAATTCCAAAAATGATTGCATTTGTGTTTAAGACATAGTGCAGTGGAAAGGTGATGTGCAAATAAGAAGGTGAGGTAGGTTGATTTGCTGTGAGAACCAGAGAACTGTGGTTACTATGCTGTGGGACATTAAATAACATCATGTAGATTCATGAGTGTTCTTTGGAAGGTTTCAGTCATTAGGGTTCCCACACAAACAAATTCTAAACACCCACTCTGTCACATTTAAAATTCTGGTCGCTTTATATCCCTACATCAGAAAGTGCATTTAAATTTAAACTCAAATTTACATTAGGAGGAAAGGCAATTTCCCCATATTTTATTCAGAGAGAACATTTTATTGCAAAAATATTTTATCTTTGAATACCAGTTTAGAATGTAAAAAAATGGCACAATGCAATGTTTTATAGTGAAGTAGGGAAGAATTGGGAGAGTAATTAGGAGGACAAAGTGCTCGTTAGCTGAAAAGCAGATGGTACTCAGCTGGAGTATAATCAGAACAATCTTGTATAGCTTTGTCTTTTTACAGGTTTGAAAGGACAGCCCCAGAAAGACAGTCTTTAAAAAACCAAAGATTTCTACTTTTGAGGTCAATTCAGATGGAAGGGCTATTAGTAATTTTTAGGAGTCTGAATGGGTGGGAGAGATGTTCTACAAGCTCGGAAATCAGACATATATCTTAAAGAGACCCTGCATCCTCTGGCTGYGCCATCAGGCTCAACACTCATATTATGCCCCTTCACTATTTGCAAAGGACATTTGATTTCACTTCACTTTTATTTAAATAAGTTAATTTATTTCATTTGATTAATTAGCTTTACAAGGAAGCCGATAACTTTTCTGATTACAAAAAACAAGAACCTTGGAACTGGAGATCCCACACACATACCAATAACAAGCTAAGTAAAGTATGTTTGCTGCCTAATCTAGGGGATAAAGAATAWCTTTTTGGTGGCAAAACACAGTGTTTTTCCAGTGCCCATGATTTAGAATAAAATTTAGGAAATTTTACACTTGGAAATACATGAATGATTTTTTGGCTTTACTTGTTGTGATTTTTTAAAATACTGTGATTATTCAGTCTGTTCCTCAATATTRAAGTTGAAACAATATAGTGAAGGTTTATCAATCTAATAAAAGACTTTGATCAGTCAGTTTTTGTGTTGTGTGATTTTTTTTAATGTTCCTGCCTGCATTCTCACTRCCAGGTAGATGGAGCTGCAATAAACAATAATCAGAATGCCCAATCTTTCCATAAAATCACCACATCATGAATAGAGTATTAGTATTCTCTGCATTATCTTGCATGATGGTAGAAAATGAATGRCCACTGAGTGAAGAAATTATCTATAAAATATATATCACCTTCACTTCTTCAGGTCTATTATTGCAATTGCTTTCCCATTTTCTGGCATGGATATAATCATCAAGAAAAGGAAGAACACATCATATACCTCTAGTATAGATTGCCATTTTAAAAAAGACTGCTTGCTAGATTAGCTGACTAGCTCCAAATCCAGGATGTGAGCTCTGTGGATTTAAAGCATCTCACAGATGAGCACTCTGCTAGTTATCACAGTTCAGGTTTATCAGCGGGTAAACACTTTCCTGCATCTGAAATATGGCTGTAGCCATTGACTACATGTGTCAAAATGTCTGAGATAAATCTTAAAGGACTTATCAGTTGACTGAGGACACTTCTGTTTATATCTGTAACATTTACTACTGTACTTCTATCTTCTGGAGTCAGTCATATCATCACAGTCATCGGACAAACTGACATTAATAAGAGCTACTGCTTGAAGTTGCAGGAAAGATGACAGATTCAACGATCCTTAGAAAATAATCTAGTTCTCATTCTGAAGATGCTCTGTTTGAGGAGAGGATCAGGAAGTAACAATAAAACTGAGTTAGGCTGACCCAGGCAGTCTTCAAGTTGTACCTCTTACAAAAAACCATCAGACTCCAAGCCTCCTGAAGTCAGAAAGAGTCTCTATTACTTCAGCAGACCTTGAATACTACCAAAGGACTTGTCAGTAGTGAAAGCTGTCAATCCAACAAGTCTGCTATTTGTCACTCATCACTCATTTCTATTTAGAAGACTTTAAACTCATTGTTTTAAAGCTTTTAATTTTGTAGACARCATTAAGATAAAGCAAACGAGTTAAAACTAAAATACTACAGACAAAATATTTGCTTTCACATCCACATTATATAAGGATATGCACATCTTAAATACAAATGTAAACAAATGCTAATTAAATGAATCATATAARCTATTTAATATATCATGAAGCACTATAATAGAGCAGAGAGTTTAACAATTTTTAGATAGCATCTGGATAAAGGAAATGTATGCATTAGAGGGTATCTCTGGGCTCCAATTGAAAGGTTTATTATGTTAAGATTACAAAAACAGTAACTGCACTATACCTTCTAATATGAAATTCAAAAACAAGGAAATAAATTTTTAAACTTAGAAAAAAAATCCAAAACCAATTAAAAATTTTGATTTTTAAAAAATTTGGCTGGAGTCTATGTTAGGATCTCCTGTGCTTAAATCAGCTATGTCTATACCCTTGATGAGATTCTAATTCTATTCAAGTGGCAGATACAGAATGTCACAGACTTCTGAGACATAGTTTTGCTCAGAATGTTCTACATTTTTTCTGTGTATTTCAATAAAATCTCCCATAATTTGGTAGGATTTAACTTTCTACCTGATGAGTATTTGTGAAAAATCTATCATTATTGCTGCATTTATTTCCCACAGAAGCTGAAGAAAGACTGTAGTGTGACTCTCCTGTAATTACCACATGGCATATACTTCTTGCAGTTAAAAATGGTAGCTATGGTAGCTTCATAGGAGCATGAACAAGTAGTCAGCTGCTTCTTTAAGCTGCACACATTTATACCAGAAAAATTGCTACTACATGTATGCTTTTGTACTTGTACCTAGCATCAGGGACACGCTGGAGTGTAAGGGAGCAGAATATGCAGGAATAAGTGGTTTGTGTCACTCCAAATTCTTTCTTTTCATCTCCTCCCAGTTAGCTTTATCTGGTTTAGCTCACATTATGGTGGTGGAACTGTTGTGACTCTTGGTATCCTTTGTCTCTCAGTTTCACTTCTGCTAGATTGTTTATTAATCAGTTGAACTGTAACTGGCTAAATTCTACAAAATAGATTATCCTTGAAAGGTAAGTCTTTAAAGAAAGTCAACATCAGCAATGCTCACAGAATCATGCTCATCTAGAGATTACTCCGCTTGTAGTGATGGTTCTCTCTTTACAGGAAATGCTGGCTCAGGAATGACCTTTCCTAAACTGTGTCCTAAATTACACAGTGACTCAGAGTGCTGCCTGATTTCACTGACAGACAGCTAGTCAGCAACAGTAGGTTCACTGCCACCCTAGTCAAAATAACTACATAACATCAGCTAATGTTAAGAGCTGTTTTTCAGAGAAATCCCAGAGYAGCCAAAGACAAGAGCAGCTGTAGTGAACTTTATTCAGTTTAGCAACAGCATCCAATACCTTGCATTTCTCTCCCAACACTTTTCAGGTCTCTGCATCAAGATAGAAGGTGTCACTAGAACTGGCTGTATGGAAATACACCAGACTTTCTTCTTAATTCTTCCTCCTATACTCCAGACAAGGGAGATGAAATGAAAAGTAGGAGTACCAATTCTTGTTTCAGTTTATAGCCACTATAATTTCTCTGCTTCATCCTCCTCTTTTGATGGATCTCAGTTTCTCACACAATACACATCTCATTTTTCCATTTCACRGCACAAAACCAACCAGACCCGCAAGGTTTATGACACCACTAAACAGCAACACTACATTTTCTCATTTCTTGTGGGAGCATCTCACAGCCTGGAATGTCCAGACAGCTGATTTTGAAGTCATTGTGCTGCTGGCAGAGGCTTACACATCAAAACCAATTCAAGAAGTAACACAGGGAGCTACCTTCTGCCATGGTAGCTGGTGAGCAACTTCTATATATTATTCCTCAAGGGGAGTTTTTGCTTTTTTTTGTATTTTCAGTGCCGCTGCTGGAAGAGACACCTGTAAATAAMGCCTGAGCTAATACATTCACAAGGCCAAAGGGGTGTGTTACCTCTTTTCTAATTTTCTAATTCAGCAGGATGACCTAACACACTGAAAGCAGAAGGGATACTGGAGTTAACGAGTGACTAGGAAGCAGTACTTCAGAGAGGATCACTGGGAAGGACACCTGGTATCAGACTATATGAAGCTCTGATGGCATCTTGAGGAGTCACAGAAGTGCTGGTGCCTGCCTTCAGGATGATAGAGGCTTTCTTACCTTCAAGCCAGTATGTAACCATGTCTCCTTTCCCCTRTGAAAGAAAATTAGTTATGGATTTACAATACTACCTTCCACTTGTTATATAATTTTCTTACTACAACTCAAAACAAGTCCCAAAAGGAGATCTATGTGCCTCTCAGCCACTTTGCATAGAGGAAAATGAGGCTTWAAACCCTTCCTTAAGATAACAGTGGTATCAATTAAAACCACTCTTTGAATCCCATCCAAAACTGGGTCCACAAATATGTTAATTTTCTTGTGGAACTCATATGATGATTAGTTATGTCTATGAAAGATCTTTTTTGATTTCAAGCAGTTGTGACAGTGAATGTGCCATGCAGGACTTCCAAGCTTGATTAAGTCCTTAATCTCTGACKTACCAGGTTTGTCCCATGAACAAGCCCATGGAATTGGTCCTGGCTTAGAACTTGAATATGCTCTCTTCAGGCATGGGAATCAGTCTCACCAAAACACTGTGAGAATTAGAGGACTGAAAGATGTAGAGGCCTGCATGGGTTAAAATTCAGGGACTCCAGTGTACTTTCTCACTCTTCTCTCTGAAAAGCTGAGTATAAATGTTGCATACACACCTTGACTTGTAAATTCCCACGGCATACTAACACATACTCTCCAATCTGCTCCAACAGCTGGTATGCACTTGAACTGCACTGTATTTTAAGAGCTGGCAAGAAAGATAAATATAATATTAGCAAACAATTTACACAACTAAGACAGATCCATCTCCCAATATGTGACAAAAATTTCAAGACTCATTAATGAACTTCCCCTTATGTTTTTTTTCAAGTCTTTGCTTTCATTCCTTTTTATTTGTGTTTGGAAACTGTTGCACAAGCTCCAGTATCCTGGCCTGTTTGTGAGAGCATCTCAGGACAAATATGTGGCTGTCAACAAACAGTACTCTTCTCATTCTGCATCTAATAATATTTGTGTAATCCTCACAGTTGTCTAGCTGGTGCTGCTGATGAGCGTCCTTTTCACCTGGTGAAGAAAACCATACCCAGTTCTACCTCCTGGTCAATAAGGAGCCAGCGCTTTCTTTGCACACACAGTTTTCAGCAAAGTCTAATAATTAAAGAAACTGCCATCCGTGCTCTGGTTACAAAATTATCTTAGGGTTAAAATATGATAATGTAATTTGAGATCCACAGATGTATATGGCCAGAAAAAGAGGGAGAGAAAATAAAGGCTTGAAAGGTAAACAGTTTTGTCTTTATTCTTAAGTCTATAGTGTTGATACACTGTCTGAAAAAGAGACTGGCATATAGAACAAAAGATGAGCTACRAAGAATGATGGAAGCAGATTTTGAAGGTATTTGTTTTAAAGGAGTTCAGATGAGGTGACATTAAAAGCATAAAAGGAGTTATCTGGGAGACTGACAGAACGAAAAATAAGTTTTAGATGTTCCATCCAGGYTAGCATTTGCTTTGGAAAAATAAAATTGTAAGAGACAATGGATGCTGGTGATTTTCAAATCCTTTCAAAACTTTCAAAACTATCATGTAGGACCACTCACCTGTCTTTCTGCCTTGTTTTTAGAGGATCATGATAGATGTTGAAAGCATCAGTTTTTTACCATGTAATTAGACTTGAATGATCTTGTCTGTGCCTAGTTCAAATCCATTTACAATGCATTGCAATGTGAACCTTAAAACAATTCAGCTTCATTTCRTGAATGAAAGGAAACAAGCCATCAGGGTTCTTTGATGCTGAATCACTTGATCTTTTTTTCTCTCAGTTCTTGTAGATCCAGCTAAAATATTTCAGAATCTGAGGTTCAAATGTCCATATTGGATAAAGATGAAGGTTACTAACAAAAATTAGAGCTTAGTTATTTCCTGGGAAGAAGTGAAGGTGAACGTACCTCCATGAAATTTGCTTAATCTCTTTGCTAGAGGACACATCTATATAGAAGACACAATCTTCTACATTGGTTAAACATAGACACAGCTCCCATGGTGTCCTACTATTGCTTTTGCTCTCCATAAGAGAAAGTTATCAGCAATAAAAGAGGAGTGATGAAAATATTTTTACTATGAATCCAGATGGGTGCCAGGAACAAATAGAAACAGTGCATGTAACTACTTGCCTCTCATTTTATTTTATTCTCACCTTTTTTACTGCAGAGAACTTCAAAGCCACAAAAATTGCTTTCTGAGACTTGAGAAATTAGTGCATCTGTTTACAAAAATGGTTGTAGAGAATATTACTCTCATAATCTGTCCCTAGGCAGACTGGACCCAGAAATCAAGAAACTCCTTGCAGGATTTGCAATCATTTAAGCAAATCAGGACTCAAAACTCAGCATAATATTTTTTCAGAACTAATTCAGGGATGAATAAAACCCCACTGCAGTTTGTTACTTATTACCTTCACCAGTAGATTCCATYCTAGAAGCTGTGTTCACAGTATCTCCAAATAAACAATATCGTGGCATTTTCGTTCCAACAACTCCAGCTACAACTGCCCCTGTTACGAAATAGAAAACAAGATACTTTGTATTTATAAATAACATAAGTCACACACTCTTCCTACACTATTTTACTTCAAATTTGTTAACTGGATAAAGACTGAGTGTCAGTATTGTCTTTACACAGGTTACACATCTGTCTTATAAGTGATTTAAAACATAGAAGATATGATTTCTTGGTMAGACTATGTATGGTGATTAATTGGGAGATGCTGAGCTGCACAGGACGTATCCAACTCTGGCTGTTTGTCAAGGAGCTGCAAGCATACATCAGATCAGGGAGCTGGGAGTCTGAGAGTAAAGGCTAGATCAGAGTGTCAAGAAGCAACTCACTGTTTTGAAAAGAGAGCATCTGATAAAGACAAGTAACAGACACAAAATGGCAGTTCTAACTCACATCAGCAAAGGCACTGGGGCTGTTTCCAATGTTCTATTCTACACTGAGGTACCAATATCCTATGTATCCAGTAATTTATTCTGTTGGGATGTTCTCTATGATGTGTTCCATCGCATATCAAGAAATTAACTTTATTTTTAATGGAGAGGAAATGGCCACTATAGATGTACTTTTTAAGCCAGAGGARGATTCTTGCAGCTCTCTCAACATACCTGAATGTATTCCTGCTCTTATCTTTAGGAGCGTATTGGGCTTGTGTGGGATCTTAAAAGTCTTGCACACATCCAGAAGGTCTAAAGCCATGCTTGCAATCTCACCAGCATGAAGGATCCCATTCTCCTTGGGTACTCCTGACACCACCATATCTGAATACAAAAATGCAACTGTATTAACCTTTGGCATTACACATAGATTTATTAAAGCATGCTGCCTACAATAAAAAATTTAAAAAGTTAAAAAAGAGAAAGAAGCCCTATTCCTTCATATCCCAAGGCACACTTGTGCCTGCTGAACAAAGAAATTCAGAAACAAATGAAGGCTAGGGCAACCACTCGTGTGTAATTATCTCAGCTATGAAAAATATTATATTTCCTTCTTACTTTTAAATAAGATTTATTCCCTCCAACCCTTTCTTTCTTCCTCCTTCCCTCCATTGAGAATGCTTAAAGTGGCACAGGCAGTGCAAATGTGGCAGTTTGGTACCTTTGATTGGTGAGCAAATACTATAAAATAAAACAATGACTCCAACTAGGCATTGTCTTATGCTTCCTGCACTATGCACTATCAACACTGATAATGGATTCTGAAGGTCCCAGAGTGCTGAGGTGGAGAGCCATGGCTGTGAGAATGGACAGACTCCTGCTTAACCCTGAACCTATGTGGGATTTGCTGCTCTAGCTCAATCCCCGTAACTCTATGGGGGGAATTCATCCAGTAGTACCTAAAGACCTGGCTGAAGCTATTGCAAGACATCTGAAAATGCTCTTTAAATGGTCATGGAACTCTGGAGAGGTCCCAGTCTACAGGAAGCTGGCAAATGTTACCTAAATTTTCAAGAATGGCTAGAGGGGTAACCCGGTAAACTACAGGCTTGTCAGTCTCACTTCAGTGCCTGGTAMAATTACAGGGAAAATTTTTCTAGGAGATAATGAAAATCACCTGAAGTACACCRTTGTCATTGGTCACAGCCAGAACAGTTTCATGAAGGGAAAGTTCTGTTTCTCAAATCTGATTTCTATTTATGACAGGATAACCCACCCAGGTGATCACGGGAAGACAGTTGATGTAATTGTCTTTTTTGATTCCAGCAAAGCTTCCAATATTGACCCCACCAGGATCCTTCTGGACAAACTGTTATGTGGCTAGATTAACACATCACGTGATAGGTGAGCAACTGGCTCAAGGATCAGGCACGAAAGGTTACAGTGAATGGGGTGACATCAGACAGGAGACCTGTCATTGGTGGGGTTCCACAGGACTCCATGCTCAGCCCTGTGCTCTTCAACATCTTCATAAATGGCTTGGACACAGGACTGGATGGGATACTAAGTCTGCTGATGTGACTAAATTGCCTCAAAAGAAGAGAGGCCCTGCTAAGAGACTTTGACAAAATAGAGGGCTGGGCAATCACYAACTTCATTATGTTTAAGRGAAAATGTTAGATTCTGTTCGTAGGATGGGGCAACCCAGGACATAGAGACACACTGGAGAATACGACACTAGAGAGCAGTCCTGTAGAAGGGGTTTGGGTGTCCTGGTCAATGGCAAATTGAACATGATCCAGCAGTGCCCTGRCAGCCAKGAGGGCCACCCGTGTCCTGGGGGATCAGGCCCAGCATGGCCAGCCGGGCAAGGGAGGGGATTGTCCCGCTCTGCTCTGACCTGGGGCGGCCTCAGCTCCASTGCTGGGGGCAGCTTTGAGTGCAACAACATAAGAAAAACATAAAGTGATTAGACAGTGTCCAAAGGAAGGCCACAAACCTGGTGAAGGGTTTTGAGAGGAARCCGTGTGAGGAGGGGCTGAGGGCACTCGGTCTGTTCAGCCTGGAGGAGACTGAGGGGAGACCTCACTGCAGGGACAAGTTCCTGGTGAGGGGAAGAGGGGCTGGCACTGATCCCTTCTCTGTGGTGACAGTGACAGGAYGAAAGGGGGTGGCCTGAAGTTGTGTTCAGGGGGGGTTTAGGTTCTTCACYCAGAGCATGGTTGGGCACTGGAACAGGCTTCCCAGGGCAGTGGTCACAGCACCAGCCTGACAGAGCTCAAGTAGGGCCCAGACAATGCTCTCGGGCACATGGTGTGCCTCTTGGGGATGGTCCTGTGTGGGGCCAGGAGCAGGACTCTAGGATCCTTGTGGGCCCCTTCCAATTCAGGATATGCTATGATTCTTTGGTTGTATTACTGTGTAGGGCAAGAGACAGGTCTTTTAGGGATTTCTGGGGTGCCTTTGTTCGGGAATTTTATGCTCAAGAATGTGTTCAACAGTTCCATAGAGAAAAGATAGTGGGGTTTTGTCCATATCTCTTATAGGATTTCCAGTCTGTCTCATCCAAAAGCCCTATTAGATTTCCTTATGGAACTCAATTTTAATCCCCAGTAGATTCAGAAAATAGCAAATATAAAGCCATCTTCCAAAAATTCAAAGAAAAGAGGCAGTCAAGCTCCTCCAGTGTATTAGGAGAGAGAAGATTGTTATTATCTTTTAAAAAATGACAGATAATAAAGCTTAGGGTATGGCATCTCTGATCCCATGTAGAAGGTAATTTTTTTAGCTGTGATCCTGTTACAGAAGATGCCAGCTGGGATTAATCTGCTGCCAAGATTTAAAGTCAGACCTTACAAGTCATAGGATCCAAATAAACAGAAGCAGTATTTTACTCAATTCATTTGTCCCATTCACAACACTCATCAATTGTACAAATGAATAAAAGTATGCCAGAAAATGTTCCTGAAGGGAACTGTTAGCTCTAGGGCTCTGTTAGCTAGGGCTCTGTTAGCACTCATCTTCTAATTGTTTTATGTGGTCTACCCAGAGGTAAGAAGCTTTCCAAATCTCCTTCAGCTGCTCTTCCTTCTCAACTAAGAGATGACACCCCCCAGGCCCYGTCGCGGTCCACAGCTCAAGAAACTTACAGGCATCTCCTATTGTCTCAACTTTATAGACATCATAGTTATCTATGATTTCATCAAAGGTGGTATAAAGCTTGTTCAAGAGATCTACCACTTGGTACGGTGTGCTGCTGCTGGACAGCTCAGTGAAGCCAACAATGTCACTGTTAAAACACAACAGAAAGAGCATACTCATCCACTGTCTTAATCATTGATGATTAGCTACCTTAAACATACAGTGAAAATTTTTCAGTGCATTATACCAGCCTTCTCTGTTCAATATTTCTTTCACAATGAAAGAAAAACTATCTCATTGGATATTTTTTTCTTCATTTATTTAAATTGACAGAAGACTCCTTCCTTTTAAAAGGACATACTGAGTTCAGTCTTTTTGCTTACCAATGCAGTAGAGCATTTTTTAGGTAGACCTTAATCTGCAACAGACTAAGCAATCTTCTTTTTTGGTATAAATCTTCCATTTATGTATAAATAAAAAAAGGGAAGTTGATATCTGTTCATTCATGACAAGTGAAGGCATGCCATTTATATATTGCTTGCTGCATGCATAAAAAAGTAAAACTAAATTTATGTAGACTCTAGGGATAGACACTTAAATGGTGGATACTTTACTTAGGTTTATCTCAATAAACATACATTAATGCATGAGTAACACATGTAAAGAGATGTGCTACTGTGTTTTAGAGCTCCAGAGTAATGTAATTTTTTATTTAAGTAATCATAACAAGAAATGGGGAGGTGTGAGAATTTTGGAGGACACTCTCTTGCAGAGCCACCTGTTACAATAGATACCAGCTGAGATAGAAATTCTGCACTCAGTTAGGAGCTTCACCTCGACTAGAAGCCTGGAAGTTCTGTAGGAGACAGTTTCATTTTTATTTACCTGAAAAAGATGGTGGCACTTGAGTAACTTTGAGCTTGTGCATGTTTTCCCTGCCTGAGATCATCTGCTACTTGTTTTGGCAACATACCTGTTTTAGAAAGTAGAGTATTGTTAATCTTTTTACATGAATAAAAGCACACATTAAACATAACACGTTGTTTAAAGGAACAAAAAATATCATTAATGGAAAATACTATGAAGGTGAAAACACACTGGCATCAGAATTTGCTGCTGTGAGAATTCACAATAAATCTCACTGATAACACATCCAGATTTTTCACACAGCCCATAACTTCTAGTTCAAACAAACTGGTATCTATACATTCCAAGAAAGAGTAAGGTTACATTCTAATAGTGTCACTTAGGATTTTACTAATTCTTTCTATGTCAACTCTTGCTAGTGCTTGCCACCTGTTAGGTTTGTTTACAATCTGTTTTGTTTTGTTTTGTTTTGTTTTGTTTTGTTTTGTTTTGTTTTGTTTTGTTTTGTTTTGTTTTGTTTTGTTTTGTTTTGTTTTTAAATCATCTTTGTTTCTCCCATCTTGCACTTTCCCATCCTTCTTTTTTTCCTTTCTTGTTATTCCCATCCCTTTATGCCTCTTTTCTTGCAGAATCCTAGAACATACATTGCCATCAAAAATAACCAACTACAATTCCACATCATTTTTAACTATACAAAAGGCCTGCCACACCAATTCAAAGTCAGAGCACTATGGATTTAGGGGCCATAGGTCTTGGATGAATGAACTGTTTTCTAGGGGGGAAATATAGAAAGTAGCTAAATATCTTTCTTTGCAAGAAACAAGTATATTCATTCATTGCTGGCTTAATGTTACCTACCAAATAATCGTCTATCAAAGGGTTCATGTTTCTAGTTAGACAGSTGAAATAAAATAATTTTTGAGAAGAGTATCCAGTATTTTTTTCTTTATAACTTACTGTACAACAGACGATCAGTCTTCTGTTTTTCATGCAATAAATCCTGGGTTCTCTCAGATACCAGTATCTCCAGATGTTTGTTATATTTCTCCATCTAAATAACAAAGAATTTTATAATTCCTCCTCCTGTACAGGCAGGAATCTCCTTTCTCTGCTGATGGGCTTGAGATACTCTGCTTAAAATGAGTTGTAAATGTGCTGTTTGTGGTACGCAGGTATCCTATACCCCTGAGCCACAGGAAAGGGAGAATATAGTTTTAAAATAAAATTTGACTGACAAAAAGCGTTCAGCCCCCAAGCAGTTGARAAGGTTAAAAAACTGAATGAAAAGGAAAGCTGGGTTTCAAGCAGAGCTGCAGCTCCAGTCAGCCCAACAGAGGTGAACAAGTAACTGAATTTTCTCACCAAACAAGGGGCATAAGATTAAAAAAAAAACCCTGAAGGATAGAGGTGAAAGTTATTGGAAGTGAGCAGAATAACTTGGATTGGATTAAAAAGATAAATTTACCAGAGTCATCATCATGTCAACAGGGCTAACAGGATTCATCTTGTACAACATTTTCTTGACTTGTTCAAACGTAGGCCTTTGGGATGGATTACTTTTTCTGCAYCTTTTGATTAACTGCAGAAGGGAAGGAGAGTGAGAAAAGCAAATAGCCTTTTATTATTACCAGCAAAAGCAGACTTTTAACTTAATACTACTGTTTTCTTGGGGCCAACTGGCTTCATGAAGTTCTGTCAACTGGTGAAGAGCTGGTGAAAAGTGTCAGAGCTATCTGCAGCTGGTGAAAAGTGTCAGAACACCAGTCTCTGGTGTTCTACAGGTTTTTGCTGAATGAAGGCTATTAGTTAATGAAAATGCTACTGTGGCAAATCATGAGTCAGATATATGCATTCCTTCTGCTGAACGCTRTTTAAGCTCTTGTCCTGTAAGACAGTGTTGTGCAATTGGAGTTACACACTGTTTTCAGAAGACTTGTCTTCACACAAAATTCACAAAAGATTAAAAGCTGAAGTACTCYTTAAGAATGTTACTTTTGATTAAAATTCAGTGTTGCTAATGGGAAGGTTTTTCATGTTTAGTTTGCTACAAACCAGCAAAGGTGAATTGTATTGAACTTAAACTGAAGTAAGGATGCCACAACCTTGTTCTAATTTAATTAAACTGGGAGGAGTTGCACTTTATTGAGGGTACTGAAGAGGAAGGCTTGTTGCATGAGAATCAAACCAAACTCATAGTTTGCCTGAGACACAGACTTCATTATTTGAGAGCCCTCTGTCAGTAAGCCAGATATTACTAATATAAAATATGTATGGAATTTAACACTTTATAATAAAATGAAATTGCACAAAAATCAATGATAGAATATTTAAAACATAGTCTATTACACTGGCAGCTTAAGGGGACAACTGAATCTTTMTTTGTCACAATAATGGGGTTTTTATTAAGGATATTAAATAATTTAATTTTGTCTTGTTTGAGGTGTACTTTTKGATTTCTGGATTATTCATATTTATCAAAGGTAAAAATACCATAAAACTTATATGGCATGTTAGAAATTCACTTCAATAAAAAGTTTTAGTACACAATATTGTGTTTCACCCACCTCTATGTAATCTGTGGGACATGGGCAAGAATTCTCATCCTTTCCTGAAATTAATTCTACCAAAGGAGGGCACCAAGAATATTCAGCTGAAATGACATCTTCTTTCTAGGGAAAAGGGGATTAGACAATATTGAAACAAGTGGTATGGTTCTGATGCCAGCCACTGAAAATATATTACTATTACCATCATCACATTTATAACATCTTCCCTATCACTTCTAAGTCAGCTTTTTTACATAAGAAAAAAAAAAAAAAAAAAAAAAAAAGGAGGATAAAAAAACACATAACCCAGTCTAAACTGGGTCACTTTGTTTAAAAGCTTTTCCATGGCTGACAGGCTTTAATCTCAGTGTTTATATGACATAAACAACTTTTGAAACAAATGAATACCTGACAAGATATTGGGAAACTTTTAAGAAATCTCAAGGACTACATTAATCTATTATCACAAACTGCCAGAACAGGGAAAATGGTAGTTTCAAGTCTTAATTTTAACAATTTTTGTTAAGCAGATTTTAGAGAGAACATGTTTACATATCCAGACCATCTGTTTTCAATTTCAAGGTGAATTCTTTTCTCTGTTTGCCATTTAGCACTGATCAAAAGACACATGCAAAATAGACATTTTCCTTACGGAGAGCAACTAATTTGCTTTTCTAGGTAATTCTTATTGCTGCAAGATTCCACTAAAAAAGGGCCTGTAAATGGCAGGAAAAGGAAGAAGCAAGAGAAAAAGGAATATGTCAATACATACATTCTCCCTGCACCCACCCAGCCATTAAGCCTCACAAAACTAATCAAAAGGCAGTTTTGGAGCTACAATATTTTTATCATATGCACTTCTTCAAAGCTCTGAAAGGGGAAAATGGTGGATCTATGGGGAAACTCTGACTGCATGTTTCATGGGAACTGATCTGGCATCCATAAAATCATGAGGAAAACACATGCTCATCAAAGGTGCAGTAACTCAAAGTTTGGTTTGTGTCTTCAGCAGAAATGGAATCAAAGTTGCCATGCAAATTCCACAGTTCATCTTTACTTACTGCCATAGGGTCACTTCTTGTGGCAATTTCTAGTAAAATGATGGCATAACTGCAGAATAAAAATGAAGCAAAATCTTAATGAAATAACAGTTAATTGAGTCAGTGATTTCTTCTTCCCCATTCTATGACTAAAATCCCAATATCCCAARGGGAAGGATGACAATGGTGCAGCTATTACTACTTCTTACTACTTTTGTTTTCAGAGATCTGTTACTGAATGTTTCATAGCATTCCCCTCTCATGATTATCATTCCCAGCGATGTTTAGTYTGATGGGCAGCAAAGCAATTTTCTCTGGAAGAATTAATGGAATCCAGAGGTGATACGTGCAAGTTTATGTACATGATTCCTATCAGTTAAACACAGAGGTCTGATTCTTGCTCTACTCAAGGSACAAGAGCAGGCTTGTAAGAATCATCAGCTGGAGAAGTGGCTTTTCACTATAGATCCCTGTTCTAGAAAATGTCCATAAAGTCTATGACACAGGGTGTCCAGAGGAGATATTTTACAGTAAGCATTTCTGCTTGTTCCTTCTGAATTATATTTTCACCRCCATCTTCCTCACTTGAACTAAGGTCAAACACATTCATCAAGGATGAAGAATAGAAAGAGTAAAAGTTGAGAGTTTAGTCTTTTTACTGAACTCACTGTAAATCTTTCAGAACAGTGATCTCTTAAAAGCAAGTGCCTCCTCCAACCACCAAGCTTGATATTCTCTCACCTCTTTCTATAGTGAAACTGTGCAATAATTTACTGCTGTGTGCCTCTCAGCTTGGTAACATTTATTTTTATGGAGAATATTGGTTTTCCRTCTGTGTTGCTATTGCTAATGGTTGTACTGTTCTGTAAGACATTCTGTTGGTAACAGGATATGTTTATCTATCTTACAGCCCACTTGTGGACCACCACTGGAAAATAATACATACAAAACATGCTGAACAATTTAGAATTTAATCTGAAGAGTTTTCTATATTTATTTTGTGWTATAATTTTGTTAGGAGAAAGCAATATCAATCCTGGTGAGGCAGCAAAGTTGAATCAGATTTTCAAGGATAATAATTAAGTGATGGTAACGCTGATAAAGCAGTCTTTATTTAATTCATCAGCAGCACTTCCCAATAAAATCCTAACATTATGAATAGTGAAATTCACATGACAATTACAAATCAAGAAGAACTAATATAGGAAAAACTGTAACTGGAAATAGCCTCTTAGGTCAAAACAGGAGCTACATTCATGCTCCTRTTCTCATTTCCAGTTTAGCTTTCCCATCTGACCAAAACTTTCCCTAGAGAACTTTAAAAGCAAGTGATTCATCTGTAGGAGCATACTAAATTACAAGTGCCACTCCGGCAGTTTCTRCTCATTTATTTGGGACCTACCTTCAGAAATATTAATGGAATTTTTGCACAGAWAAACACTGAGGATTTCAAGACTGGATCAATGCTGCCTGGCCAGAGAGCCCACACACATGTATCAGGAAGACTTATCTCCTGCTTATACCATCAAACATAAAATTTGTTAAAATGCAATTTCTAAAAAACAGCCCAGATAAGAAGACAGCCTTTTCAATGCTACAGGCCATATCTCTATCTTCACTGCCAGCATGTTGCTCTTCTCCCTTTTTCAGTTTTATCTCTCACCACTTTTACCTTTTTTTTTAACMAAGAAATTAATAAGTGCAGTGCCAAAAAAGAAGATGTGGATTCTGCAGACATGTGGATTGACAGCAAGATAAATCCAGGAAACATTCATTGCATCTATCAAAAGTTCATTATAGGCATGYATGATATAAGCAAATCAGATTTTTGGACTATTTTAAAGGAACCCTTGGCAAGAAATGCCATCGGGAGGCTAAGTTGCCTGTGAAGTCAAATAATGGCATCTATCCTGACCAGGAGCAAAGTGAGAACAGACAAGCCAAGGAAACATTTTCTGGGATGCATTTTGGCTGCAGGGCAATGATAAACTGGAATGTAGAAGACAATCSTAAAATGATTGTTTAGCTGGAGCACAGTTCTTTCTAAGACCACTTCATGCTGAAAATGTACAGACTGCCAGGAAAAATKACAGTAGCCAGAAATACCAGCACACAGAAATCCCAAACTGCCTTAGCTGTGCTATTTTGAAGCTATGAGGAAGAACATATTTAAGCCTATAGCTACAAATACTACTGAGACTTCAAATTCTTGCTGAGGTAATCTGATAGAATGGATTAAAATTAATGATGTTTAAGCACATTGTATATGCAGACATTTGTTTACAATTGTAATCCTGCGTATCTGAAAAGTGGTTGGATAGAAGCAATCCACCACTCGCAGGCAAATCCACTGGAAAGTGATCTTCTGTAAAAGCTTTTAAAAGGAAAAGAATGGAGCTATTCACTCCAATTTTTTTCTTCCCTTTATTTTTCCTCTTTAAACCAAGTATTGTCATTGTATATATACCCCAAAATAACATATTGACATTTAATTATAGAATTACAGGATGCATTATGACATCCTGGAACACTGATGCTACTAATTTTCAAAGTATTGGCATTATTGGAAATAATCTACTTTTCATAAGAAAAAACAACAGAAAGAAAGGATAATTAGATAATAGCAGATCTTTATGCCTTTCTTTCTTACCAGTCAAGTGGCTCCTTATAAATCATTAGGTCAACTCTGCTTTTAAATAATATTAGTGAATTCAGTATTTCATTATCTACCTTGAAAGAGAAAACCCATGATATCTATGCTGTTCTCTGTACCAGGACAAATCCTTTCAAAAATACAAATCAAACATGGAGTGGTAACAGAATYACACTGAGCCTGTCATTAAAGAATACTTGAGATTACTAAAAGTGAGATCAGGAAAACTAAGCTACCTGTAGATATCTGTCATAGAATTGGGTTCAAAATCTGAAAGAGAGCGTATTTCAGGAGCAGTGTAAATTTGTATCAAATGCTGCTGGGATGAACTTGATCTGTCAGGAGAATCTTCTTTTCTGTACAGCTGCAAGCCATAATCTAATAGGAAGAAAATGGTAAACCATTCAGTGGATACTTCCATGAGACATATGCAATAGTAGACAGTAACACAGTCTAAAGAAATTAATTTTCACTATTCTAAATACACATCTTAGTATTAAAATAGTGCAGTTTGGGTGRTCTTGCCACCCTAAACTATGGCAAACACAGCATCTGGAAATCCAAATGTTTGGGCAAGACTGCCTGACAGCAGGGAAATCAAATTATGTAACCCATTCCAATCAGAATTATTTTATTATTTTATCAAATTTTATTCAGATAATAGTCTCACCTCAGTGCAATATTTAGCTTGTAAATACAGATTTCTGTTCTACTTTGTCCCTTGATCCTTATCTCTGGTGGCAGGTTGCTCAAGTAATTACTAGTTAGACAGAATAACAACTGAAAATCAGATGGTGGGCGTTACATGAACACCACTAGCATCAGAACAAAGGCAGCATAGATGTGAAACATCTTTCCATCTATATTTCTAGCCTAATATAGAAGGAATTCTGAGCATATGACTCAGAATCAGGAAGAARGAGAAAAAAACAAATGACTTCTGTTTTCTTTCTTACGTAAACGGCACTCTTCTGAGGGTTCGTCCAGAAAGCTGTATGAAGACATCTGGTTTTATCTGGAGTGACCTCTAATTAAGATGCTCCTAGGGACTGAATCTTTATGTGGACAGTGTTTTTTTAAATAGTTCCCACATTTATTATTTGGGAAGTTTGTTTGATATTGCATCCAGATAAATGATGAAAATTTGAAATCATTACATTTTGACACAGAACAGAATCAAAACAGAAGCTTCAGAATAATTTCATACAGATCCTATTTAATTGAGAGGAGCTGTGCTAAGGTGATGTAGTTGATGTAATCCAACTATATCTAATTTTTGTGKTTTTTTCCAGAACAGGCTTCAAACAGAGTAGGCAGTTCTGAAGGCAGAAGGATAGTGAAGGAGCTGGAGAAGCATGCCTGGCCCCATGTAGGAGCCTTAGTCATAGGACGCACCACTGAAAAACAAGTCTGTTGCTGCTGCTTTTTAGGATGGCTGTGGGTTAGAGAGTATGATGACTACTCTGGGCAAAATGTAGAAGAGATTATCATTGCCTTAATTCCCTTTGGCTGCTGCAAACTAAACTAGACTTCCAGTAGTTTTCCTGTTCCCACAGGCTGTCTTCCCTGTACCAAGAGTAGACCTGACCTGTAGCTCCAACTCTGGAAGAAYACAATTCAGTGTGTGAACAGGACTTAAAAGCTCTGAGTTGAGAGCTTTKCTCCATTAAACTACCTTGTGTTTACCAATCAGTCAACATCTCTACATTTCTTTACATAATTGCCCATGCCTCAGGTTYTTCTCTGTATCAAAGCTGAGAATGAGGCAGAATTTCAGCTCAGACTGATGTTCATAGACTGTATCACTTGTGGGATCTKATGTGTGCATCAGTGACACATACTAAATGGCTTGATCGTGTGACATGAAACTTGCTTCAGCCCAATGTTCCACATGAAGACACTTTGGAGGAGTGTTGAGTGTGAAATCTGTAATTTGGGAGTTAGCCAGACAGTTCTGAATTTTTTTTCCAGTCTTCTCTTTACCTGCAATTTTACAAACCCACCGGTCATCTATCACACAGTTATTTGACTTCAACCGTCCATGATACATTTTGTGGTGATGGAGATAGGCCATTCCTTGTGCAATATCAGTAGCAAAAGAAAACCTGAAAGTCAAAAATCAGTGAGTTAGTATTTCCACTTTCACTCAAGAATGGCTCCAAAGCCTACTGAAGTTTACAGAAACCCTCCCTATAGCTTTCAGTTTGTGYTCCCATGCACACATTTCCAAAACACTTAAGGTGACTGTTTGAAAACTCATAGTTCTCTGAGCTCAAAGGCCAAGACAGTTGGATTTCTTCTAGAAATTATCAGTACCTTCATATCCTTGGGAGTTTCACATGTTTACAAGAGAAACAATTTTATTACCTTCCTTGCTTTATCTGGAAGGTTTCCTTCCTGAAAACCATTTTTCTTTGCTGAAGGCAAACATATAGCAGAAGCAGAAAGGGCACGTCAAGAAGACAATCTCAAAAAACAATATGTCAAAGCCTTTGAGAAAGTTTCATTGGCAATCTGAACTCATTTTCTGTATTGGTGAGTATAACAAAGTATTTGTAGGTATGCTAACCATTTCATCAATATGTCTTCACAAACAAAAATGTAGTGGGTTTTAGTTAAATAGGGATGCCTAAGATATTTGGGAACAAAGCAAAATTCTGTGGGAAAAAAGGGTTTTAAAATAGTTTCACAGTAGAACTAGGGAAATAGTTGAAAAGTCATTGGCTTAGCATGACCAGCACTAAAYATATGATTTCTCAAAAAAACCCAAATGACAAGCTGGACTGGATATTCAAACTTTTTTTCTTTCTTCTTCATTCTCTCTATATCACASTACAGGCCTAATTATCCAAGAACTTCACCTAAAATTAACATCTTATCCTAAACAGCATATAACACARTATATGTCATTTAGTTTTTCAAAAGCTGGGTTTTTTTTACCTGAAACCCCAGTTTAAAGGAATGTCTTCATTGAGGAGCACATCACTCAGGCTGCCTTTGGGGCAGTACTCTGTGACAATAGCAACATTTGGAACTTCTATACAGCCTCCAATAAATTTGCAGAGATTGGGATGATCAAGTTCCCTGTGAAAATCACAGAACAACAGCAATTTTCACAGATGTCCTTCCTGGTTTTGCGGCATAATTCGACAACCAAGTACCTTGTCTCAAATTTGTAAAGAAAAAAGAGACACCAGGAAATTTTGATATTTGCTTTCTTTCAAGMAAAGTTTGAAAGAAAGAGGAATATTAATTTACACTCACATTCAGGAAGATTTTAAGCCCTAAAAATTCAGTGTAAAAATGGAAAAGCATACACTTCTTAATTTCACCTCTTACCTCACTTGCTTTACTTCTTTACGTATGGATTTAGACAGTGTGAATGCCTTCTTCATTATTTTCTTTATGGCCACTGTTCTGCCATCACTGAAACAGAATGAAATGCTGTTCACAAGGTTTTAAGGAAATGTCAAAAGCCACCAACACTACAAAAATGGAATTAATATAATTTCTAATGGGGAACAGCTTTGTATCTCAAGAGATGAGGCAGAGAATTTAAGCATGTATGTGGCTGTAAATCTGCATCTAAGACAAGGGACAAGACCCTGTTTCTTTTGATGAAAAAAGCATTAGTGATTATATTCAACCAGTCTGGATCTGTGCACCACATTTGGAATGTGAGTTTTAAGAGTCACTTGAGGCAGTTTGATGATGAAATAGCAGCAAAGGAAATGTCAGAGCTAGAGGAACGCGTACAGCCACATCCCTCCTATCCATTAGTTCTTACTACTGTTCTGTAGATCCTGCACCGATATTCAACATACTTTTGTTCTCACGGGGTTGACCATTCTAAGAAAAGAGGCAGCTGAGTTTGATAGAGAGTAAAATAATTTTCCTTGTTAGAGGAGATACCTGCAGGAATTTTAGTGTTACCCACCCTATAAATATGTCTCTAGTGTAGCAGTTGTAGGTGCTTCACCAATGAATGCCCCATTCTTACATTTTTCATCATTTATGAATGTTTTTGACATTCATTCCTCCTCTGAGGAAGACAATGATGGTGATGGTGATGATGATGATGATGATGATGACGAGAATATCACCATTCAGAAAGAAGCAGAAAAAAAGATCAATGCCAGACACAGTATTTCATCAGTGAAGTGGCTGTGACTTTCCACAAGCTAAGCTAAAAGGGCGCTTGTTTCACCAGCCAATGATCCTAAGTAAGCTTCTTCATCCTGCAAAGCACAGATCTTTCCCTGTTATATTCAAATGGCAAGCATTGCTTCCACTTTTACATATGTTTGGCTCCAACCCCTTAATTTTTTCACATCTATGGGAAAAATTACCTTGTGGAGCAGGTTATGGCTATACAGTTTGTCCTTATATGATATGCATGTTTATAATTCAATTCAGAGGTGAAATGCTGTGAATCTTGAGTTGTGTCAGCTGGTTTAAACACAACATATCTAATGTGCTACTGCAGAGGATGTGACTCTTTAGTGCAAAGAATCTAGCTTGCTCTGCATGCATTTTAGAAAAAGGGGGTGCATAAAAGCCTTAGTTATGGATACATTCGAACAGCAATGGCCATTCATTAATAGATGCAGGACATTTAATGCACCAATTGCCTCTTAACAAGTCCCTGAGAGAAAAGGGGAAATGACAACCAAACCAGAAGCCTGGCATATAAGATACTCCACAGCCAGTATCTGGTACAGAAGTCATATCTTAACTTAACAGCTTTGGCTTAACAAGATAAATTCAAGATTTTTTGGTGCCTGTCAACAGTAAAGTGACAAGAACCAGTAATCAAGATGAAACTATAATATAGTAGATACTGCAGTAAATGGGTAACATATTGACTTACTATCTCCCAGTCTGGGTGAAGTATTTCTTCCTGGACACATTGGCAGCTCCTGTGCAGGAACTCAGAGCAGTAACACAACTGATATTGGAGTCACTGGGTGCTAGAGGAGTGCTCATCATGCTTCCTGTTGCTGTCCCTATAATGCAATCTAAATGGGATGTGTGATTAAAAAAGGCACATGAAGTTTCCTATTATTGCACAGGTGGAGGCTCCAGAGGCAAACAAATACAAAAAATTCTCCAAATCTTTGCATCTCATCTGCTCTTGTTACACTTACAAGAGAAAGCCGTTGCTTGGAATGTTAATGCTGAATAAAAGTTAAAAAGTTTCAAAGATGATTCATTGCCAAGATCCTTCTCACTAATCCTCGGGATTTGATGCAAATTTCATTTCTCTGCTCTTGAGATGATTAGCCCTTAYTGTTACATAGAAGCCAAGGACAGAACCCAGGGAAGGAGAGCAAACCCTATGCCATACTTTAACAAGTCTATTTGGAGCTCCTAGAAGACTGTAAAGTACAAGAATGTGGGAAGTGATTCTGACACCAGAGAGAAGTCAGAGAAAAGCAACAATACAGTAAGAGGAAAAAAATCCCAGTGATCTCAAWGTACATTTTTTAATCCCTGTTGACCAGCTCAGGATGAAAAAATGGACTTCAAAACAAATTTAATGAACTASATATCATGTCACCATCTCCAATTAAAGTCCAGATTTAGCCAATTAGTCTCAGCATTGCTGAGACCTCTCAACTCTCCCTGGTAGAAATATCTCACTGAGGAAGTTCAGTATATCACCTTGAATTAGGACTGCCATGTTCCCACACCACAGTATTACCCATATGCAGTTCAAAATTGCATAGACATTTGAAGCTTTTTACAGCATTCCACCCAAAAATACAYTGGAGATCCCTGAGAGAGCTTTGAGAATAAGAGTGCATATATATCTATATCTCTATATATGGTGCCAAAAAGAGATGTTATCTTGGAAAAAATAACACTAATTTTTCATATTGAGTGCTACATACCCTGGATACACCCTGCTGATGTGTTCTCATTCAGATAACTGCATTTCAGGCTGCTGTGAGTAGCTCTGAAAAGCTTTACTCAGAGGWGACATATTGTCTCTCTTCTTACAATGTTATCAGTCCTCATTAAGTTGCTAATTATAACTTAAGGTCTTAAACAGTACTGTTGCTTTGCAGGCTTGTTTCCAAGAAAGTTCTCTTTTTGGAGCTGACAAATTATTTTTAATGTGTTATTTTTTGATCATGCTACTAATTTCCTGCAGTCTCTTTCTTTTGTTTCTCCTCACAAGTGATGCTTATGACATCTGTTAATTYACTATCAGCCCAAAACTTGCTTATGTTACTTTTCTCCATTTCTGTTTTCACAAATCTAGATTGAAATTCATTTTGGTTCCTGTATCAAAACKACATAGAAATTAATGTTCAAGTCTAAGGCTGAAAGTATCTTCACTATATATTATCACAAGAACATTTTGACACTGGCAACACAATAACAGAATCCAGAAAAAGCATACATCTGCCTAGCAATTTCTTCCAAAGACAGAAAATGAGAATGTACCATCAGCACACACCTGTCAACTTCAGCAGACTTCTACAGATTTAACCTGTCTGAGGATTTAGGTATTGTTTTCCTTCTGAATGCTAAATGAAGGAAGCAAAGTAAATAATCTATGTCTATWTTAAGTGCAGAATAGTAAAGAACATAATAACACCTGAATTTATTCTCAAGTTCTTTAATTAGAATGAATTAAATAATAGTTTATTGCCAGAACATAAAATAGAAAAGAAACCCCTACAAAACTCTGGCCAAAATGAATTACTTTTTGTAGCAAGTCTGCTATAGACAGCATACACAGAGAGAAACTAAGACAGTGCTATATCCCTCAATATATTTGTGCAATTCCAGAGCAACTTAGTGAGACCAAGTATACAAAAGGATATATCCACTATAGCAGCTGCAATTTGTTTTGTCCAACTCCAGAGGTTATCTGTTTATTTTGGGATAGTCTTGTCTTTTTCAATTGACAGATCAACATAAATAAAAAGAAGGCAACTATTTAAAATAGTTTTGTCATCTAGAGCTTTGATAAACAAAGCTGTGAATGATCAGCTCACAGAGGTTAAAAGGATGAAACAATGGATATATCTTTCACAAACCGCTTCCCTTCTTGCAAGATGCTTAAAACACAAAAATTACGATTGAAATTATTTCTCCAAATTATTAGGAAAAGTGATCACAGTAYCAAAATAACAAATTACTAACCTTGTTTGATGCAATTGAAGTCTATAATCCAGCTTTCATCCCAAAGCATCTTTTGTTTCTGATATTGAAACCACTATAAAAATGAAACAAATWTTTTCCTAATGCAGCCCTCCTGTCTCTGAAGGAATTAAATCAGAGATTTCTAAAATAAAATATGAAAATTTAAAAGTATCCAAACTACATCTGATGTGTAAATTTACAGCATATATCTTACAAGYAACATTAGAAGCAAAAGGATTAAGAACTGGCTTAGAAGAAAACATCATCTAATAAATATATTAAGCACTGTATAGTCTATATTCTTGTCTTGKGGTGAGAAGGTTCAATATCTAACAGTTATTAATTTTTTCCCATGCCCTGCAGGCACCTTGTTTGTCAAATAAACAGGTTTTTCRCTTTGATCCCGAAAATTCATTTCAGAAGGGATTGCTGAAACCCTTTTCTTCAGAGGAAATACTCATTCTAGAGCAATCCTCCTAAAATTTGTCTCTAAACCAARACAGTTGTAGAAGCAATTACATGTCATATTTTGCATTGGCAACAAATGGTCCATTATTGCTAACATTTATAGATTACATTTCAATGTGGACATCAGATGAGGGATTTACATGATCTCATCTTATGGAAGTGCCCTATGCTATGTAAGTGCATGAATATACTCCATCGTAACCCCAAGATAAGGAGCAGTGTATCTTATATCCTGTAASAGAATTAGCCCATGACCTACAAATTAGGTCATATTATGTCAAATACTTTAGCATAAAGAATATTAGGCGGGGATTCTGTGGCTACTTTGTAAAGAAGGCATTGAGCTAATATAGCTGATTTTCTGTAGAGCTGATATACAAAGCTAATATACACAGTGTAAAAACATGCTTTCAAATAAGTACCAGATTAAATTATCCAGTTGTTATGACTGCAGTCAATGACAAAATGTCARATCAAAGTGGTATTTTACTATAATGATACTATTTTCTATAGTGAGTRATTTAATATTGGAAAAGATGCATTCATTGAAACAGGTAATAAAAGTCCAGATAACAGACAAGGAACAGGTGGTGGACATTGTGTTGATATATTGGTCAACATTTGTTAGAAATATAGAGCTCAGTRAATCAAAATTAATTCATCCCATTTATTTCGAAAGGCTTCTGAGGAAAGAAACCTACATATTATCTTGCAAACATATGTCTACAAARACATATTAGCAAGAAGTGACTACTAGGCTTACTTCCTTTGGCACTGATATCAAAGGAATCCTTTCCTCTACTCAAGTGATTAAAGAAGGCATTAGTTTCCTACATGGTTCCTTTTATGYAATATCAGTTACTGAATTGTCTAAAATAATCTTTCCTATCTTGTTATGATAAAACCAATAAAACTTTAAAAACTCATGATGTTGCTATTGAAGAAGTTAGCAGGAATATGTATACAGAAATGCAAGAATGAAGGAAAATATCAACCCCAAACCTTCAGAAAACCAGAAGAAATAACAGGTAAATTTTGCTATAAGACCTTTAAATATGCATATACAAGACCAAAAAACTCCACTGCTCTTTCTAAAAAGCCAGTTACCTAAACTGTCTCAACCTCTCATCTGTCCAATTGCATAGTTCTATCAGATCGTACGGTTTTACAGGACAGTTCCTATAAACTCATCGTCACAACTTCCTTGTGGATTATGAATGCTCAAATAGTTTTCAATAATGGTTCTGTTCCTAACTCACAAAGCCACACAATGAGGTACAGAAAAACATATGATGCAATTTGGTCCTCCCTTAGTACCTCAGTTTGTGGGCCACCAGCTTTCTCCTACTCATTGCATCTCAGTGCAGCTGCCTACCTCACATGTTCACTGCAACTGCAGTGCAAGATGGAAAAAGGAATCCCTGAGGAAAGAGGAGCCTATCGTTTTACAAGATATATAGGCCAAGCTCTGAATAAATTACCTGTTACAAACATAGTCAATAYAATGACTCTACAACTGCCATATTAACCTGCTAAACCTCTTCTATAAAACTCGTAAATGCATGTTTTTCAAGATGCACACATATAAGGAATATAGATCCTCTTTTCCAGAAGTACTGTTAAGTAGTAAGCCATAATAGCATTCTCTCTTCTCTTTACACAGACATTTTCATTCAAAGACACCCGAAATTACTTTTTTAATATTCCTCCTCTYTTCTCATTCCTCTTTCATTTTTCCTTCTTGAGTCTGCTATAATAATTGAGAAAATTGTGTGAAATTAATCACTTTGAATTGAACCACGCTGATTGTTACACTACGAAAACAAACCTGTTAAAAAAATCAACAAACCAAAACAGAAAAAAAAATTATCCTCTCCCCATGATTCTTTTGAGAATATCCCAATGTTTTGCATTTTAATTTGAATTTGGACTCTGAGATTTAATGGCCTCTGATGGAGCTAGTCCCTTAATGAATTTACCTAATTTATTTCTGAATTCTTTTACAATTCTGACCTCCATAGGGTTTTGAAGCAGTTRATTTCATAGCAGGGTTTTATTGTGAGTGAAAAGTACCTTTACTTTGCTGGCATCCCCTACTTCACATGTTGTGGAATTTTTTTTTCATAAACCCATTCCTGGTTACACTCCACTTCAGTCTTCTCTCTTTACAGGACGAAAATGCCTAGTACAATGTGAGTTACAACATTAGGAAGCTTTAAGAGTTGTTTCCCTTCTTTCTGCCTTTTTCCATAGAATGCAGGTGGCTGAGTGCAGAAGAAAATCTATCCCTCCACTGAGAGAGAGCTTCCTTATCTAATAAGATCATGGAAGTAAAAGAAAAGAAATAGAACAAGAGAGAAAGGGTACTTACCATGACTGTCAAAATGAAGCCAGTGCAGACTAAACATATTGGTAAGGCAATTGCTATCCTAACATCAGCAGAAAGAGGGCATTCCCCACAGTCTGCTGGACAGATGGAGCAACCTTCTTCTTCCTCACAAAAGCCATCTCCACAGACTGATTAGAAAAGGAAATATATAACAGAAAATTTTTAGGCAGTTTCATCCATCCACAAGATTGCATTCAGATTTAAACATGTGGTTCTTGATCTGGGAAACTCAAGAGTCACAGAAATAATAAATTTTGAAGMATTCAGAGATACCATTCATCCCAGCAACTTAAAGAATAATCTGAATTTCTGAAGTAATACAGGTTAAATGTTAATTACATTCAAGCCTTTGACATGTTTTGTGTATAAATCACCTAATCACTCCCGTGTTTCTCATTATCCATATAGGATTTTTTTCTTAAATTTAAAGTTCTTCAAGGCAGGCATTTTCTTTTGTATTCTTTGTATTTAATCCAGCCCTCATGATCGTTAGAAGCCAATGACCTTTTCTCAGCAGCAGCAGAAGATACTGGGTACTGCAGAAAGAACCCTTGCAACCCACACTTCAAGTATTTCCTTTACTTTACTCCAAGGTCTTATATAAATTATCAGCAGTAGCAGATGTAATTTAAAACAAAAGTCTTAAATAACAAAACTCCTTCCCCCATGTCTTGAATGGTCTTTCAATTTTACCTCTGTGACTAAACTAATATCATGCTGTACTTCAGCCTTGAGAGGTGAGCTGAAGGTATTATTGTGTCATTATGTAATTTTTTTTAATAAAAAAGCCTCAACAGAAAAAAATCACTGCTCAGTAATAATTCTGTTTCAGCCTCATTAATTCCAGTATAATACCAAGATAATAACAGATGTCACTTTCTGCCTCAGGGGTAGAGCTGTATTTTGAAAAATTTCTTCTCTGATATATTGTAAGTTTCCTGGAAAATTCAGCTGCAGTTGTTTTGAAATAAGTAGAAAATTCTATAGATTAATACTTTTATTCACACTGGAGTTGCTTTGTTTTTTTTTTCTTTTTTTTCCATAACATTGGGAAATATATTCTTACACTTTTAGAAGAGTAGCTAACAAGAGTATTGTGATAATATGCTTGTTTTAGCCAAGAATTTTCTTCAGGTTATGTGCTTAATTTATTAAACAAAGTTCACTTTTTAAGTTTTACAGCACTAAGAGAATTGCCACAGTTTTTTCTGTTTCCCTCCGTATAGGTGTACTACAGCGAATGAAAGACTGATACCACTGGGTTCAATTTTTGATGTAAACAAGGGAGCCACTATGGATTTCTACCTTTCCACTATGTTTAAGACTAGCCTGCTCCCCTTCAGAGGAAGAGTGTCTAGTTCCTCAGAACACTAGCTGGAGGAACATTCTCACATTCCCATGAGCTACAGACAAGTCTTGTAGTACCTGAAGCCAATGGTCACGGTATTTCACATTGCTTATTTCACAAAAGTGGCTTTCTACTGTTGCAGATTGAAGCTCATTGTCACAGTTAGAAGCTCAAACACTTTTTCAGATTTCAGTGCTATGTTAAGAAGAATTTCAGGAAGACATTTGTGTATTTTCAAAGGTAAGTTGGTGGGGGAGCCCCTTTTGCTCTTGGTAGCCATGCATGAGTGATAAAAGCATTGAGATTTGCAGTCAATCTGCAATTACCTCACATTTTCATTTTATATCATACCTACTGCAGGAAGGACTGTGGTTTTTGCTTCCAGAGCAGCTTGCATTCTCCCAACTCTGATGTGTGCAATGAGAGAAGTCACACCCATGTGAACTAAAACAACCTGCCAAACAAGTGAACAAACCAGCATGCATCAAAACTTCACTCGCATACAATAGGCTTTTATAAAAAGAACTGACTGATTGTGGTGTCCTTCAGAAGAATTTACACACTTTTTCAGAATCAGGAGAGACTGCTCTTGTGAGAAAGACTGGTCTGACTCCACTCCTAGTGTGASTTCTTCTTCCAAGCAGGGCTAACAGGCCTGTGATTTCTGCCATGTATGCTTCCTATTACTTCTGCCAGGTAGAAGCCACCCAATTATCATATGAACCTGCATCACAGTCCAGTCAGTAGTGCAATATATTGTTAGTGTGGACCTCAAATGGGCAGATTATGCCCATTCATTTTCCTCCCATCCCTACTACTTCCACTAACTACCTAAAAAAAAAGCAAAAGCAAAGCTCTTACTTCCAAGTCAAGTCAGTTGGGAATTTATAGTACTCAGCTATACGCATAACTTATGCTATAACACACACATATAAATGAGATGGGGAACATGTACCTGAACTGCATTAAATTACTAGCACATAAGCTCTGAAAATGAGAAAATCAGATAAAATCATATATGCAATAAACATACTTTACCTTGGCTGTCCAGTTTCTTTGGCTCATTTTGCCAGCGGTAGACAAAGTGTGAGTAAATATTTGACCATCATCGGGGATCCATGGACCACATATTCCTCCTTTAGCCTTTAGCAGACATATTGGTTATGTCAGTAAACCATGATACAATAGAACTCCCAGCTCCTCCTCTTTTACCTTCTCAAAATTACTTACGTTCTCTAACAGCAAATGAAGTGATATTTTATAACCAGAGCTATCAAAATGCCAAAGGACAAGTAACACTGGTCTGTGACAAAATAAAAGATAAAAAAACTGGGAAGCAATTGGTCTTATACTCAGTTAAAATCTCACCTATATTGTTATTTCTTAAAATACATATGTCCCAGTAGTGTACTCRTAGAATAAAGAGTCTTATAAAGCTGGTTCACTTCTTCAGGATTTGCTGTGTTAGAACCAGAAGCAGAGTMATATTCCACTTGTGGTATTTTCCTCAAGGGGTTTTATTGAAGTGCCCCTTCTGATACAGCAGGTTTTTTTTTTCTTTTTTTTCTATAATGAGGAAGGGAGGCACCTCTTCAGGACCTTTTGCAGAGCATTTCTGAATAAAGCTATTAAGATGTAAACTTCCCACAACTGCAAACACAGAGGATTAATTTTGGCTGTGCAAAGATCACATAGTTTTTTATTTGGTTGAAAGGATTAAGTCTGTCTCCTAACTTCACCTAATTCTTCAGACACTTCCTTTAAAGGGTTGTGAGAAATAGACCAAATCAAAAGAAATGGAGCACATATTAACCAAAATAAAATGTTTTAGAACTCATGACACTCAATAAAACAACAAAAACCAAAACTCCTCTCAAATAATGGAAAAAGTTTGCATTGAAGGTATATTCAATTTTATGCAGTGATATTCAACTGTATGACAGTCAAATGGCTTACAGCAGAAACTCTTATGTTTACAATACTATGAAGAAACCAGATGATGCATGTTGGTGAACATGCTTTTGCCATTTCMATACCATAATTCCAAGTAGAACTAATCCTAAAAATAGAAATAACAGAGAGGTCACCACAGCAATGGGATGTTGAAGTTCTTTACTATGGCTCTAGACAAAAATGTGATGGTTCCAGCATGGATTCCTCTTTTAAACCAAAGTCCCAGTGCCAGTTAAGGCTATCAGGGAATCAGTAATAAAACAGGTCCTTAAGAACAGACTGCCAAGAAGCGAATTAGATTTGTTGTGGAGTCATTAGGCCTTCACACAGAAAGATACATGAAACAGCTGCAAGATGTGTATGTACACTAGGCTTCCTATTACACACTCTTTGTYCATGAAGAATGTGTCACATTGCCAGAAGGGAAATTTACTAGAAAAATTGGGCAACTGCAAGAGAGCTCTTGTGCAGGATAAGGCTTACCTCAGAGATTTAAAAAAATCAAGGTGTTTCAAACTATATTTTTAGAATCAGGACTTTGGAATTAGAAGTATTCATTCAAAGAGAGGCCAAGCAGACAGGCTAAGCATGGATYGTGCTTTCACTGCATGAACAAATTTTGTTAACCTGTATTTGGATTCCTTTTTTTTGCTCYGATATAATGGAGAAAAACAATTCCATCTCAGGATGTTTGTATGCAGCCTCAGTTCTAAAAGTCACAGCTGGTGATACTTATACCCCTCAACTCCAGTAATCCAAGCAAATTATTCAGTSCCTCTAAAAGAGGGAGAGATTGGAACACTTCCAAATGCTTCTTTTAGAATGCAGTGATCTGTCCTTCTTTCTCTGTTGGCTGCACAGTGATCCAAGCCAGGTAAACTCAGAGATGAGACCGGTCCCACTAATGAGAGATTCTGAATATCACCTTGTCCAAAGAGCCAGACACTTTCTTTGCATCCAGTGCAAAAAAAAATTTCTAAAACTGACAGACATTGCCATGGTGGTTTTAGTGAACTGTAATTTGGTCTAATTGTAATCACATAAATACTTCATGAACTTGAACCTGATTATTACAATGATGTCTCRTCCAGTAGCAAGAACAGATCACATGATGTGACACCATCACACTAACCATGAAGGCCAAAGGACAGGAATGAATGTTGGCATGGTAGACACAGCAGTTGTCTCCATTTGCATCTTTCCATCTGGAAGGACATTCATGCTCCTCACAAAATTCCTTCGCAGCAGTAGCATTGCTAACCAAACAGAAAAGAGAGAAAAACTTTTACATCTATTCCTCATTCAGAAAAATTGCAACAAGCACGTGAGATCTTGTCCTTTATCCTACACAGAGAAATWAGCAGCAAAAACATATGCAGTGAGATAAACACTAGTGAACACCTTTTTTTGCTCTGCTTCTGGTTGAAATGTTCCTGGAGAACTGGAGATTGTTGTCAACCGGACCTCTGCCTACTGCAACACACTAGGAACTTTCAGCAGTGTGTTGCAAGCAGGGACCAATCTCCACTTCTTCCAGYCATGACCAGGTGGGATTACTTGACATTACTTCATCTGGCACAGACAGATTCTGTGCCAGAATGAAGTAATTCTACTTCGGCTATCAGACGTATGTGTCCCTGGCTACTTCCAGTCTCAAAGTTTGCAATTATATACCTTCATCTATGCATAGCACTCATACAGACCAKTAAGCTCCAGTCTTTGCTCCACAATCCAGATTGACAAGGAAAATAAGTATAATGGACAATAACACATACAATTCCCCAAACCACAAATTATAGTAGACTTTATAAATAGACTGTTCCACAAAACAATTTCTGAAAGCTTTTTCCTGAAAGATTAATGTATTCACCTCGAAATTGTGATGCAACACTGTTTCCTCGGTTACATTTTCAACAGTTATCATCCTAATAAATTCAGCTGTAAGATAAAATTGTTTTCTGGAAACATGATATACTTAGATACAGCCAGAATTAACTGAAGTTCAGTTGAAATGTTATGCACTTGTGTTGGACATTTATACAACAATTTCAGAATACAATTCTTCTTAATGAAAGAAGAATTAGCCAATAATAGGTAGATTTAAGATACAAGGCTTGGTTCATTATGAGAAAACTGTGTTKATGTTGAGAAATAAACAAAACCACAGAGGATTTAGTTAACATAGATTGTACTCATGGCCAGATTTACAAGAGCATAGATGTATTCAAAACATGAGATAAGCAAATATGTCAATCTCCAAAACATCTAAACAGATTAAATATTAGAATTTATCAGCCTTTGAGATCATACTGAAAGTTAAGAAAAATGCATAATTAAGTTGGTGCCTAATTCCATTATRTACTTTACTTTAGGGCTCCTTTTTAGAATTTATCCTGTATTCTGTATTTTTTATTCAATAACTTTATCATGGGTTCACCCAATTCCGCTGAGGCCCAGTCACTGACTTGCCAGCCTCAGACATATTTGGGTCAGCCACTATAACCTTTACTGTCAGCCAGATTCATGCCAAGTAGTGAAAAAAACTGCTTCATGGTTAAGTTCTCMGAACTATTATTAGCCATACATTTTAGAAAATGTGAGAAACAAATTTTAAGTAAGTTTTTTAACATACATGATAAAAACAATCAACTTTTTGCCATGGCAAATAGATTATGGACCATATTTTAATATGAAATAAAATAACTCTGGATTACAGCTTTTATAAATTGAACTTTKCAATGTGAATACTAAGGCAGAGGAAAATGTTCCACAAACATCTCTTATACTAACAGCACAAAAAGTGGGGCTCCACTCTCTGTCCCAGGTGTTCCTGTGTGGAGAATTGCCAGGATCAGACAAAAGTGTSAAATCAGAGTGTATTACCCCTGGATTTAAAAATCCAAATCTRTAGATCTGGAGTTGTACTTTCACTTACTCTATATTTAACTGCTGCATCATCAACACAATGTGTGAGTTGACATATATGCTTTTCGAGTGATTTTAATCCCAGAAATCAAGCAAGGGTCACTGCCAAATTCAATGGATTCAGGGTTGGACTACCTCTTTTTCAAATCCATGTTGTGTACTTCAATCATACTTATGATTGAAATGAGTATAAGATACAGAGAGTCTGTGACTCATGCTTAAACTTCAGCCATAAATTCTATGCATASAGAAGGCTAAAAGTGGTGTTTGGAATCGCACTGTGACAGTAGTGATGTGCCCAGTCTCTAACCTAGCAGGCAAACATACCATGATGGCTGCKCTGAGAGCAAAGCAAAACATAGCAGGGCAAACAAAGCCATAAGAGAACCCAAAGGACAGAAGGAATTGATGAAGAGTCCCAGTGTATGTGTTCCAATTATATTACTGAATATGTGCACACAAAATCCTCATATGATCATGGCAGCATTTCTATCAGAAGTAATACCTTTGGGAAAGGATTCTATTTTGCACAGCATATTGATAAAATCTGTCTGAGGCAAAGACTGCATAGGTCACATTGAAGGATTCCCCACTCACAGTCTTTTCTGGAGGCCTCTGCACCCATGTCATTTCCAGTCCTAGAAACAACACAACTATGGGTCAGAATATTTGCTATACTTTTTTACTTAACAGATACACACAAATCTAAAACTTTCTCTGTAGTGATTTTCATCTATTCATAGGATCATAGAGAGGTTGGGGTTGGAAGGCACCTTAAAGATCATATCATTCCAACTCCCTTGCCATGGGTTGGGACACCTTGCAATAGGCCAGGTTGCTCAAAGTCCCATCAAACCTAGCCTTGAACATTTTCAGGGACTGGGCATCCTCAGCTGCTCTGGGCAACTGCCGTGTTTCACTGCCCTCTGAGTAGCCCTGAGTATTCTTCCATTACTTTTTATCTGATAAGAAGAGTGATGCATTTTAGTGGCTCTATAGGTAAACACAAATGCATTTTAATTAAAGTATTCTGACACTCACTTAGAAAAGATGAAGCAGTTGTAGAAATGTAACCAAAAAAAACCTGCTCATCTTATGTAAACTAACTTTGTTCCCAATATATGGCATTGCTGCTTGTCCTAGTATATTTGCTTTATTCTTTTGATCAGGCAACATTGCTCTTAATTCTTGGCTGCTTGCACTGAGACACACCTTATTATGGAAGARGAACAGACAACTCTACCACACACAGAATTCAGTCAAAATCTTTTAACTCATGAGACACAAATTATATCTACTAATAATTACATACTTAAGAATGCATTCACATTTGATAGAACCATATGGCATGTAGAACAGAGGACAGTGGAAGATGTACTAATCAGTCTGTCATTTTCCATTTTCACAATTTTAACTGGGAAAGATGATTAACCCCCATCATGTCTCTTTGCCCTGGGACTCCATATAACCCACTCTGAGACTGAGAATGAATGAAAAAAAATGCTGGGAAAAGTTTTAAATCCATAAACTTTAACAATTCTATCAAAATCATCCCACTCCATCCACCTATATTCKTCTGTATTGTTGGATGAAGGTTTTAATTTGTGCCACATCAAGTTACTTACATAATGCAACTTYATAACTCAGTATGTCAGGAAGTATTAAACCCTTCTACCAGAAGGGAAGAACCCCTTGACTAAATTTGCTAGAGGACTGGTAAATTTGACTTACAAGCAGCCTCATTTTTTTGTTCTTGTTGTTTGGTTATGACCTCCCATGTTACTCATACTTGTTTAKGTATGTATGTATGTTTTTCACTTGCACTGTACTGAAACCACTATTTTCTCCTTAATTTCCTATCAGATATAAATAGGYAAATTATAAAATAACCTCTTTATTTCCTATCTCCCTTGAAAAGTAAAAACTCATTTTAATTGCTAACTCTAAGAGAAAAACTATGATACAAAGATTTTTAAAAAAAATGCTAGTGTGATTTCTACYAAAAGGTAAGAGACTTGAGCTTCAAAGAAAATATGAGAATGAAGACAAAAGGTCAGCACAAATTTTAGTTAAATTACTTTCTACTTCCTTTTAAAGGTCTTACAAAGGTAAACCAAACTCTTCTTTCAATGATAGCTACTCCCACATATAAAAGCTTTGAAGATCTTTTGTTAAATCCACAGCAATGTGGCTACAATATATGTCTGTTGCTTTGCTTCTAGCAACAACCAGAAAATGGCAAAGAAAAGCCACAAAAAAGGCAGGATGGAGTTTGGAGTTAATTTTAAAACTGATTGCCATGGGTATACATTAATTAAGCAACCTACTCAGGTTAGTTTCCCTTGTAGCAAAAATAGCTTTAAACAAGGCATCTGTACTGATAAATAACTGTTTCAATGTTAAAATGACGGTAAATTCACACAGGGATGAAAGTCTTAGTTGAAATATCAGATAGTCTTTGAACCTCATTGTTTCAACACAATGAATTGGAGAAAACGGTAACACTGAGCTCAGAGTGTGACGCAKCAGTATACTTGCTGGAGCGTTTTATTACAATCACCTTCTGAGGTATTCTTGKTTTTTTTCAAAAATCCTATTGAACACTTGTCTCTGGTCCTACCTTTTACAACATAAACAAAAAGTGTTCCTTTACATTAGTTTTTTATTCATTACAGTCACAAAACCACGGAAGAATTAAAACTGGAAGGAATCCGCAGAAATCATTTGGTCCAAGCCTATGTTGCTKAAGGCAAGGTCATCTCAAGGACTTTTCTCCAGCCTTCATCTAGTCAGCTTTTAAAAATCTCCAAGAACAGAGAAGACACAACCTTTCTGAGAAAAAAAAAAACATGTTCTACTATTTTGTAACAAACCTGTYCTACTATTTCACAATCCCTAGAGTATAAGAAACTTTTCTTATATTTAACTTGAATTTACCACATTTCAGTTACCCCTGTGTTATTTCTTCATCTCAACAAATTACCAACATAAAAAATATCCTTTTTTTTTAACCTCATAATGTAAATGCTTTTTTTTTTTTTTGCCTTTTTTTTTTTGTTTGTTTTTTTGTTTTACTCATGGTACAGTTTTGAGCAAGGTAGAAAAGCATGAAATGTAGAATCAGTGATTTTGCTTATTGGCTTACTTTTTAAGCACATTGCACGTTTGAACTGACACTACAAAACTTCAGCAAGTAGATCTCCTATAATGCAGCGCAGCTTCCATGCTTTSCTTGGATTAAATTGCTTTTGGTTCTCTAATGAGAAAGAAAATGTTTTCAGTTTCTCTCTGGGCAAAGGGATATAGYCGTTGCTATTACTTTTTCTGTTTGAACAAAGGTAAACTGGATACATAATTACTCTGAAGTACCTTACAGTTGTTTTCTTTCACTTATTTTTCTAGAAGAGAGGTTGTCACTGATTCAGATGCTTTCCACCATGGGGTAACACCCACCATGAGCAAAGTACTATTTTGAATCTTTCAGTTTTGGGGTTTCAGCGATTTCCCAAGTAAGATATCACCTTTCTCTATGACTCACTCACCTCCACAGTCCAACATGTTATACTCATCTGGCTTTTCCAAGGGCCAACAGTCATAGTCTTTGTTACCTAAATCATGCCACCCTTCTACTAAGATCACCTGCCAGGAAAAAAAGAAAAAGCAAAAAAACCAAAAGAGTAAAAAATAAAAGAGTATGAGAACAAGGAAAGGATGGGTTTTATCTCCTAAATTTATAATTCTTTTCAAGAAATCAAACAAAATGCAGAAACACAGCCTGGTATATTTTGCTCCCTTCAACTTCAACTTCAACCAAAAAACAAAAAAAAATTTTTTTTTAAAAAAATCCCTCAGGGTATAGACACAATCACTACATTATTTATTATTTTTATCTGTCCAGAAATCAAATGAAACAGTGAGGAGACTTAACTAACCTTTCTCTTCCAGAAGGGCTCTTTACAAAGAGCAGGCGATTTAAAGACCATATCCAGAGAGACAGTTTAGTGTCTCTCCCCAAATCCCAACTGTTCAGTTTCTTTTAATCTTTTACACCTAAAATCTTTCAACAAGTAATTTTTTTGCTATACTTTTAATAACACAAATTTTAACCACATAAATGTTAATATACACAATGACACATAAAATTAAGACTGCGTAAGCCTATTATAGGTAGAATACAGCATCATAATAGGATACAAATTGAATTGCAACTGTAACAAAATATACATTATATATGTATATAATGCATTATAACAGATTATATTAGTCATGTATTATAAAATATACTCTAGGATGTATCTGAACAGATCAGAATACATTGATAATGCTCTATGATACTATGGGCTTATTCTACTTCTAATAAAAGATAGTTTCTGCTTATACAATCTGCTGTTGTTTTTCTATGTATTATTAAAACATAATCATCTACTGTATTAAACACTTGCTTATCCCAACATAAATGGAGTAAGATAGCATGATACAACTGATTTTTCCAGTATATCCTTCTATTACTTTTGGCTTCTATATTACTAAAATGAAAACCAACAACTGTATGGTATAAATAGCTGTTTCACTGCAATAAGCCATATACAGTTCTTTCTGTATGCACAGATCAGAGGAATAAGTTCTGATAAGCAGATCTAGATAGACCTACCAATAAACTGAGGAGGCTTCGGAGCTCTACAGCGGGTGTTTTGATGGCTCCCATGCTCCCTAATGTGCACACAGCTCACCAAGTGTCGGGGCTGCTTCTGATGTTCCTGTTGCTTCTGAATCAGATGCCCTTGCCTAAAAAGGGGGTTGCTAGGCAAGCTGATCCTGGCAACTCCAGCTGCTGCAGCTGTTCTGCCTCCTCCTTCCCTCTTCTTCCCTAGCCCACTTCATGGTGCAGAGTGGAAATACTCCTCTGCACTGCTGCTGAAGTAATTCAAAAGTCCCCATTTATTGCTGGGGCACCTCCGGACTCAGACCATTGTGCCCCTTCCTGCTCAAAACTGGAAAACCGTTTGGTGGGATTTTCTTGCAGTGCCTTGTCAAATGTGAACAGCATTTGACCCTCAGGCAGAGGAATTGATGCTGTGGAAATAAACATACAAACACAACTGAGCCTGGAGGAGGAATATAAACACCAAGGCAAGCAAAGGCTACCTACACAAGATAAATGGCAAGGCTAGAAGCTGACCAGATTCCTGAGCTTCTTTCCAACCTGAATTGTATGAGACCCTGCGACTTCAATTTCTCAGACACTGAAGGTGAGGACTTCTACCCAAGAATCCTGCTACATATACAGGTGAAATGGACCTCTRTGTAGCCATGCTGGTACAATAAAGTCATAGATGAATTCATGAATATTTATGTTTGCTGAAGCCCTGCCAGTACCAATCTTCAGTTGTGATTCAGCTCTTCYGAATATTTCTCTATGCTTCCTCTTGAATTGTCTCTCAGCCCAATCTGGTGTTAAGAATCTTAGTCAGAATGTTTGGACTTCACTATTTATTGCACCCAAATTGCATGAAAAAAAGTAATGTGTACCTAATTGATCTTGAAAGGGCTGTAGATAAATTAAAAAATCTGTTTAGATTCACTCATTAAAGAGCTATTTGTATAAACTTATATGTTTAGGTTGAAGTTTTATGTTTGTTGTGAGAACCTAAACCTTATTGGTGTTCTGTCTTCCTGTGCTTCACTATGAAAATTTCACCCAAAAGATAGGTGTCACTATGTGGAAATCTTTACAAGAATTTCAGCATGCCACTGTGCAGTTCTTCTGGGTTGTTTTTTGTTTTGTTTTTGTTTTTTGGTTTTTTTTGGTGGTAGTTTTTGTTGTTTGGTTTGGTTTTGGTTTCATTTCTTTGGTGTTTTTTTGCTTCATTTGTTTGGTTTTTGGGGTTTTTCACTTTTTTCTGGGGTTTTTTTGTTTGGTTTGGGTGTTTTTTGGTTTTTTTGTTTTTTGTTTTTTGTTTGTTTGCTTTGTTTTTTGTTTCTGCAGAATTCCGTGCTTAAAAGAGTCCAATTATATTAACATCTTGGAGAGGTTTTACTAGCTGTGTTTTAGGTTATCTTTACTTAATAAGGAATTTGCTGGCAGGGAAGCTAAGTATTACAACTTGTTAGACTATACAGAAGCCAAAAGATTAACAGACTGATCCTATTTTCTTTAATAGGAATGACAAATATTCAGATGGCATTGACAGCATGATTCAGGGACTGTAAATATCAGATGTCACCTTCACAGATACTTGTCTATCATCTCATTCAGAATTTCTGGAGAATGGCCACATGTACATGGGAATCTTGGATTAAAGATGGATGGACATAAATGGTTGGCAATTATCTGATTTAACAATCTATCCCAGCTACTTGGGGCATGTTACCATCTCCACATTTAAAAACTGGAAATTTCAAAAAGCAAACCAGTGCAATATTAACATCTCAGTAAAAACAAAGGATTGACAGCTCAGTGATCAATGTAATCTTCAGATCTATCCACAACTCTCAGTTTATTAAAAAAAAAAACAGAAATAGATTTGGAAAAAATGAAGTACTCATCTCAAACTTAATATTTGCTTTCCATTTGCTCCTTTTACTGTCTGTAAATTAGACGAAGGTATATAATTTTCATTAATGTCTTAACATTGCATCATACCATGGATGAGTTTATTACAACAGCCAGATCCATTCTAGCATAGATTGAGCTCTATGTACTGCTGCTTTACTTGCTTAGTGCCAAAACACTGAGTTCTTTGGCTTCTTCTCTTCAAAGGATCTCTTAATCTGAAAAAAAAAACAACCACCAAACAAAAAACCAAACCACCAGGTAATTTCTACTGATTGAAATCAAATTATCAAATCAGTTTGTATTTACAGATAWATTTCTGTTATGTTGGCTGTACTCAGACTGTCCCTTAAGCCACATTATTTCCATTTCATTAACACAATAACTTCTACTATGAAAGAAACAGAGGGAGAATAAAAACATTTCAAAACTGTATCAGCAATTTAACTTCAGATCTTGTTAAAAAATGCATTCTTATCAATGTTTCAATAATCATAAAACTGAAATATAAATGTGTAATATTTGTAGCAAATAATAATAATGGATACAATATTGTTGAACAATTGCCACCTATGTGCTTTCAAGCAATTTTGGATAGCAATTTGCAGCAGGAAGTCAAAAATTAGTGTGATGAAAACTTCAGGTATCCTTCAATAGATTTATTTATTCTGACATTCAAATTTTCCAGATAGTTCTTGTCTTGGAAGCAAGCTGAGGAAACAAATTTTAAACAAAAAAACAAACAAACAAACAAAAAAAMCCCCACCCAAACAAAATCAAAGCAAAACAATACCAACCAAAAAAAMCCCTAAAACCCCAAGAAACAAATAAGAAAACCAAGCAATACACTAAAAGAAATAAGCCTAAAAAAATCCCAAACTCAAAACAAGACCACCCAAACAAAAACTCAAAAAATTACCACCAGGGCTTATATGGCATTTAAAAATTATGGCATTCCAAAAACACTATTTATCGGACTTACAACGACTGTGCTGTAATTTGTGTGATCAGTAGCCAAAGCTTAAATTCTTAGCATACAAAACTGCACTAGGCAGAGTATGTTCATCCCGTGCATGAGTTGGCATCCTGCTCATTCTACACCGCTCCAGGCTCCTAGCATCTACAGGGATGTAAGAGTATCCATACTATTCTCATTTTACAGCGATAGCTCCAAAACCATTTTAACACAGAGTCCGAGTGCCTTTCTTATTTGGGACCAGCTCAATTTCCCCAACGCGCGGCGTTTGCTGGGCACGACCAGAGCACTCTGACACTGCTCTCTAGTGGTTCCCTTGCAGAACAACTACAGGCGAGTTCCCAATGTGTMCAGTCTGGTTCAAGCAGAGCCTCCTCTGGATGCACCCACTGCGCCCAGTCCGGTTTAAGGAAAGCCTCCTTTTGATGCAAGCACCATGCACGGCCTGGTTTAGGGAAAGTCCCTCCTTGTGCACAAACTATCACAAATGGAAACGGAGCAGCCGTACAGCAGAGAACCTGCCCGATTTCAGGGAGTTCAGGGGCAGCAGATGGTGGCYTTCTACCCCTTCCCAAGAGCACTGATGCGCAGGACAGCCACAAGAAATTCCCAGGGCTCTGGCATGTGGTTGCAATACCACAACACAGCAAGTGATCACACTTTCACTGCGTTACACTAATCATTTTTTTATGCAGAAACCCTCTGCAGAAAGAGTTTCGCTGACCTATGTAATGCAGCACTACAGACAAAGGATGTTGATTTTTGTCTTGTAAATCCAGATTGCCGCAAACAATTACATGTTCCAAATGAGGCCTTTCAGTGCGGGCTTCTTGTGCTCTCTTCGTGATGCTGGTCCTCCAAGCTTTCCGCTCTTACAAAATGAACTGGACAATTGGACCAAAAGTCTGATCTGGTTACAACTGCTATGATGTTGATTATTGTTGYTATTGTTATTATTTATGTATTAGTTTAAACTTAGTCAGTGGCCTTTACTCTCACCCTTTGTTTCTTTTCAGCCTTGTTGCAAACTTGTATTCAAGTAACACACGTGAGTTCATATGGTTCAGTGAGACTCACGCCTCTGCTGAGCCTGGATTAGCAGGTTTAAAAATGACACCTCATTTTCTTAAAAATTACCAACAATTTCATTAAAAGACTAAGCATTGTAATAAGCTTTGTTGTAGATTATTAGTAGCTGTACTGGGTGTCCTCAATCTTCTGGGAGTGCTGAACAGGAAATCAAGTGAAGAAATGATAGAGAGCAATAAGCAAGTTCCCAAGCCTTGCACACACACCATCACTTAACTTTGTAGTATGTCTTCATTCCTCTAATACACTTTTCCAAATATTGAAAGTTTGACAGAATTTCAAGAAAGAAGTCTCAAGCTAAAAGAATGGTTGAATTAAAAAGAGAAGTAATGACATAGTGGTTTTCGAAGATCTGAAAGGTTAATGTTAGATGATTAATCTTTGATGACAGTTCAAGTCACTTGCAGCAGAAGGAGCAGTTACATACTTACATAAAGGAAGGGAGCAGGGAGGCAGTATGAAAGCAAAATAGATAAAACAASGTAACTACAGCCATCAAAAATTACAGCAAAGAAAATTCTTTTTCTGATTACCACCCATAATGTTGTACATACCTCAGAAACTCAGAGAAACCTCAAAAAAGCAAGTAGTATTAGTTGGTGTAGGTGGCAGGTACTCTTCCCAGCACTCTCAGGTTACTGGGAATGCTGAACAAATGCATGCTTTTATAGATGCATTCCTCAGGTTCACTCTAGTTCACAACAATCACAGGAAGGCTAGTTGTTTTGCGGTACTTAGGGTTTGATCTGTGGCACTTAACAAGCCTAAATAATTAATTTATTTCAAAAATGTGAGAAAATACAACAAAGCTTGAAATGAAAAGCATCTTGTACACATCCTGCAGGTTATGTGGAGATGGTCACCYCAGATAAGTCACAAACTTGAAGAAGAAACATTTTTCCTTAAGARTAAGATTAGTCTCTCTTTAGAGGATTGACCAGCATGTGAGCTATTGTAAAACAAAAGCAATATTCTATAATTTTCATAATATAAAACAATTTGTGATTTTTCTTCTTCTAAAGAGAAGATAGAATGATATTTAGAATTCTGCAAGGAAATACTTATGGGTAGAAAACTAGGAGGTAAC